GGATTTCCCATGCACCCGAGCGCTGATGAGCTTTATCGCAGACATGCCATGACACGGGGAGGTGAAGTCACACGGGCTGCAGAGAGATGAGGAGACAGGAAGGCATGCTGGGTAGGAAACACCCAACTGCACTGCAGCAGCTCCCACTGAACAGGCATCCCTAAACCCCCCCCCACGCCCCCACCGCAGCAGGACTCAAAGGGGGGGGCACCGTCTACGGAGTAGATTCACCCCGTGGGAAAAGAGGACCCAGCAAGACAAGTAGAGCTAAGGGTTCACATCAGATATCTACCGTATTCTCTGTGCTGGTTTCTGGGATGTGGTGACATTTAAATGGAGCATTCAGAATTGAAAGAAAAAAAGCACATACATTAGACATTCTACATTTATGACCTAGTATCTGTTTTTTTCCCCACTTAACACTGTGCCTTAGCTGCCATATGTTTAGTGCCAATGTTTTTAAGTTCAACAAAATCTGATAACGGACCTATTACAACAAAGAATGAAGAATTTCACTTTCTGAATTTTACCTAACACTTTCACCACCACTGGAACATTCATGTTGTGGATCACTCAGACATTTACACACTGCTTTGTGCCAGAATGGACCGTTCTCACAATTTACAGTTCTCCCAGCAGAAGTATTCAACCTTGCTTGCAACGAGGACATTTTATTGAGACGAGAAAAAAGAAGGCTGACACGTTACCTTAACCTCTCGCAGGTTCATGCATTCTTCCCAGGAATAGAACTTCCTTTTCATTCTAGGGGACAGATTAAAGTTGACATAATGACAGCATGAAAAACATCACACCTGTATGCATGGTCTTTGGAAGAATATACTTTCACTCCCTGTACACATACATTCTGCAAACTTCAATAACTAAAAAGAAGATGTTTACTGCGAAAGGTACTGAATTTACAAAATGCACTCTGAGCAACAGCAGGAAATGTAGTTACAAACTATGAGCTCAGAACAGATTACAAACGGTAAACTTGCTTAACTATTAAATCAATTATTCCTTTCACACCTTTTGATTATTTTATTCCTAAACTGCCTAGGACAGGTTTTCATGCAAAGATTTTAGAACTTTTACAAGGGTGCATGTTACACGCATGGGTGAGAACAAACACTGGAACACATCAGCCCAGATACGGAGCTGCTTCTAAATCTAAGACAGACCTCGTATGTAAATCATGTGATCACAAGAACCTATTCATGAAAGGCCAAAATGGCAATAAACATCATGCAACATGTTGGATATGTAACCTGAAGGCCCCCCGTATTCTTTAAGACAAAGGCTTGTAATACGAGGCTCACTTTGTGATAAACGTCTGTCAGCCTTGCACAGTTAAAAATGATTTCTCCCTTTATATGACATTTGTGGTATCTGACCAATTCAAATTCTGAAAGAGCTGATGCCCTATTCTAATCTGAATGCAAATACAGTGGCTCTGTAGTTGCTGCAAAACCCATTTAGCCAGTGCTGTACTCCCAGCTGTTAGCTCAGACACACGCTCCTGAGTGGACAGCGATGATTTATCCAGACCTATTGCCCAGAGACGGGTGCAGAATGCAGTCAGGTGATTCAGGTAAGGGGGGGGCTCCATTTCAAAATTTCACTGGAAATGTGGTGACACTCATTTTATCCCAAACTTCACATTTATTATTTTGCATGAAGCATCCACCCCTCAAGGCTCATCTACAACAAGGGCAAAATTAAAGGGGTCACATTCCAATAAGTATTTTTTTTTTATTATTTCCTTCATGCTCAATTCTTATTAAAATTCTGTTTTCTGTATAAATACTTTATCTGTCATACTTGTTCCTCTTCCGGACTCATCCTGATTAAGATGTAGCAGTCTATGAGGGAACAACAGCTTAATCTCAGTATATTACACACTGTAATAGACCACTGAGCACTGGATGAGTGCAACGGCCCTCAACAAAGACTTATATACAGTATGTAGGATCTTCAAAACACTGAACTTGCCTTCGTCAAAAACATTTTACCAGCTCAGGAAACATCAATTAAATCAGGGCAGGGCACTCACTTCACTTACTGCCAGACAAAATCAGCACTTGCCAGCGTTATGAAAAAATAAAATACAGAACAGCTGTTTGCAGAAAGGGTATGAGTGAAGCAAAAATAGCAAACCCTTTAAAGTCACAATTACGCCCTTTAAATGAGGTGACATTTCAATAAAAATGTGACTGGGTTAAAATGTCCCGTTTTACTGTTGACACTATTTCCAGGGAGAGGAAAGAATCTTTATAGAAACCTTGCTTGCTTACTTTTTAATAGCAACCAGTTCTCCCGACTCCAGACTCCTTCCCAGAAGAACGGACCCATAGGTCCCGTCTCCCAGCTGCTTGAGAGTCGCGTATCTATTCATGGCTCTGTCAGCATCGCCCAGGAGACGGGGGTCTGCTTCATGGAGGGCGCTCGGCTCCCTCCTGTTGAGTGCAGCCAGATCTTTCTGTGACAACAGCAGTGGACAACAGGCCGGGCTGCACACAGGACTGCAGAACTCATATTTTCACAGGCTGTCCTGGACCTGCAGAGACGAAACAGGCACAGACAGGACAAAAGACTTGACAAGCACGATCAAAAATGGGGTTTATTCTCTTAAATAAAAGTACAGTTAAATCTTCACAATATATTTCAATATTTCTAACAAACACCCTCCAAACTGACACAAATGGTGACAGTTCACATTTATACTCAAGTGCTACAAAGCTTAATAATAATGACTAACAAGTAAGTTACTGTAATATCAAGTCTCAAGTAATACTCATTCATTTATTACATACAAACTCTATACTACTATGTAACATACTATTACATACTCTCTCACAGTACTAAAACCACGCTCTCATGTTTCAGTGATGGTAGCCCAGAGATAAGGCAAGCAGATGGCTCTGGAGCCCCCTTGAAGCGATACCAAATGTTTTCAGGCTCCGATCTAGAATATATTATGTTATTTTTAAATCTGGTTATAAAACCAGACCTAACAGAGAACTGTACAAGTACGCATTTCTAACACTTATCAGCAAACAAAACTACAGCTCAACACCTTCATGATCAATGACTAAACCCAAGGAAAATATCCAAGATAACCATCAGACCAATAACAGAAATACCCCGATTCCGCCAGTACAGGCAATGTTGATCTTTTTTTGTATTTCTCCCAGGAAATCATGTCTTGTTTAATGCAATGTTTTCTGGAATGCAAAATGCTAATGTTACTCCTAAGGAATTTTCTGCAACATAATGAACAATACAGACTGCTTCTCCCCGCCTTGCTAATGCTGAAGAATGTGTCCTCACAATCAAGTTAGAAAAAAGATGTATTAGCAATTCAGGAAAATCAGTTGCATGATATTCAGTGCTTGATTCTGTCGGAGACAATATTTTCACAGTGTCTTCAGCACACACATTTGCACACTATTCTCTGTAGGACACACTGATACTATCCAGGTTACTCTTTATTGCAAAGTCTACAGAGATACAGAAACAAGCTTCTGTACTAAATCTAGCTGGAAAGTGGCAACATACTGAGGTTTCTGGGGTCAGTAATAGAACAGCCCTGGGTCCCACATCTCTCTTTAACAGTGTCACAGTGCACGCCAGCACCACAGCTGGAAACAGCCTGTAAGCCTCAGATATCTCGGAACCATTCATTCATGTTTAACACTAGCATGGGAAAAGATGTCCGAATGAGCAAAACGATAGAAGGGATACTCTTTACGGCTGGTCTCTAATATAACTGACCGTGCTATTGAGCTGTAGCCCACGAACGGGGGGGGGGCTGCATTTCTTCCCATTTTCATTCTGCATCTGCTCATTATTTACAACTCCCCAGTACTGAACCATCTATCACTTGGCATCCGTATAAAACTGTACCGGTATTCGCCCATGAGAATGGTCTGTAGCCCCTGAACACTGAACATGGCACTGTACGTGGTGTGATTATCTGCAAAGACACCACAACTGTCCGGGCGAATTTCCCAAATCTCGAGTTGGTGTTGGGGTAGTTGAATTCTGTATAGTAACACTTCTCCAGACTTTTCCGTTTAAAGCAAGCCAGTGATGTTCTTGCAGTAAAAAACAAACAACCCCAACATGTCTTAAAATAACTCATTAACTCGGCTGCACCTACTGTATTTCCTTGTTGGCAAATGCCAACATTTCAGATAACAGAGTTAAGGAACAGAAACGCACACCCCTGCTTTACAGATATAACAAGGGTATCAACAGAAAAGGCCAAAAATACAAGAAAGAAAAGAACAGCGGGATTATCAACAGACGGACAGATATCACAACGCAATGATTTTTTTATCCCCGTTATTTCCATTATTACATCTGCTGTATAAAAAAAAAGCTTTTGTTTCGACTCCAGGAAACAGAGCGAAATCTCTTTTCTTATTATGTTTGGACTCACACGGAGCCATGCGTTTGATCATCAGATCGGTGAGCCCTGATTTATCCTTCGCCCCCCAAATTGCATCGGGACAAAGTTTGCACACTTCTGTGTGTCTGGACCGAGTCCTGCATTATATCACTGGACCTTCTCCAACGCTAACGGAAACGGGGCAGGCCCCCTTCGTTTGCAACGAGTAGCACCTACCTGCAGAGCTTCAACAACGCAGCGCACTGACATCTGCTTACACGCCGGTGAGCACCAACACACCCAGACAAACCCCTGGTCTTCGGGCGTCAAGCAAACATGGCGCCCGGGCTCCCAGCGGCGGAGGGCGGAGCCGCAGCACCGCCTGCCCGCCTGCCCGTCTGCCTGCTCCATCAGCCCTGCCGTTTCTCCGGCACAAACCTCTCTGCCAAGGAAAAAAATAAAGGGGGGCGAAATATCCCTGAACACCGCCCCCCCCCCCCCAAAAAAAAGCACATGCACACGGGGGGGAAAACGTTAAGGGACCCTTTGTTGTTCCAGACCGGTACAAAACCAAACCCCTAGCCTTATTGTTAGCTTCATGTTCGTATTTTAATAAACATGATCGTACAGTATATGAAATTATAGTAAACCGTATTTTTTTAAAGCGCCCTTAGAAAGTGGCCTCTCACAGCGCTTTGCGGTAAGGAATAAAAAGGGGGAAGGGAAAGGAGAATTCAGGTAATATTACCGTAAGGGTCTGGAGTACAGCAGTAAGGACGGGCACAACTTGAAAACAGTCAAAGAAATAAAGCAATCATCCATCCATTTTTAATAGCTTTATTGAATACAGGGTCACCGTGGAGCTGGAGCCTAACCTGGCATGTAAATTGTGCAAAGCAGGGTACACCCAGTCAGTGCAGGGCACACAGTCACCAACACTCACACATGTCCACGGCTCCACACAGGACGCTCACAGACGTCTTTCAAACACAAGCACATCAGGACCAGGAACATGGCATCCTGCAATCTGTTTTATTTCTCTGTGATAAAACCCACGGGTGTGTAAACTCACAGGCTGCAGTAGCAGACCAGCTGTCTTGGGCGCAAACAGGAACCCTCCCCAGGGCACAGTCACAGTCTTGACCCTTCTCAAGAGCTCACCTCACCCGGGTGTCCACACTGGTTATTCTCTGAGCCGATTCAGAGCACTTATATGACTTGTGGTATATATATAAATGCAAAAGAACAAGTAATAATTTTATTCCATGCTGAAAAGAGATTAAAGAAAACACAACGTTTCGGCCGTGGAGCCTTCTTCAGGTGTGAGCATTGAACTAAACCTGAACCACACCTGAACGAATTGTATACATGTCCAAGACGGTATATAATATTCTAAATTAGGTATTAACATAACTTTCCTTGATTTAAATTCTGCCTTTATATATCCTAACATATGGTCTTCTTTAATCGCTTTCTCACAGCGTCTAGAGGCGAAGAGAGACATTCATTTTATTTTTTCAGGGTTTTAGGGTTTACTACGCCAGACGCGATCACATTGTGCACCGCGCAGACCCCACGCGTCCCCCGGCGCTCTGTCGAGCGGGCTGCGGGCCGCTTCGCGTCGCGCTCGGCTCTGCGTGTCCGCGCCGGCTCGCCGTCCCGTACGCTTCCGCGGAGGCGCCCTTCCCCTGCGGAGCTGCGCCGAGCCCCGCCAGCGACCGTCCGACATGGCTGCAATGTGGAGAGCTCGCAATTTCGCCCGCTGCGTCGTCCGCTTCTCCGACCGAGAACTGTACTAGACTGAGCCCGCTGAAAGAGAGGAGGAAGGGACCGACAGGAGACGCTCACGGCTATATCACGCAATGGTAAATAATACAACCGGGGTCGTTGCTGCGGCTCAAGTGTAAATCATAAACCAACTGGTGGCTCTGCATGACGTGTAGCTAGGCGGTGTGTCAGTCACCTGGTGTTATTTACATCTCGGGTAACTATAAAAAGTAACACTGGTCAGCCTCGTACGCCAGTTTCTGCAAAGGTGCGCCTTCTGCCAATGTTGTTGGTTATTTCCACGCCATATATGTCTCGTTTTGAAGTGAATGCGGAATTGAGTTCGTACTTACAGTGAAGTTATACAAAGTAGTTGTTTGTGTAACTACATTATCTAACGTCTGCATGTTTCCCACTTGCAAGTCCAAGTATAAACGTCCTTATCTGAGCTACCAGATACTGATAAACTGCCGGACATGTCTGCTTACCTGTTTACGCTACTGAATCTTGTTACAGAAGAATGAGGAAGCAGAATATATTCGTTGAAACTTTGAAATAGGTGAAACGTACTGTAAGCGGTTTTCATGCTTTCCAATCAATAATATTTACAACTTGCAGATTCGAGTTTCAGCAAACTCGCTCATTTAATGCGGGGAAAGTAAGCTTAAACAAGCGAGCACCTACAAATATCTTGTTCGAATTTGACAATACTGTTTCTTAATTTACTAGCAATTATAAATACTAAAATACGACCGAAACCAGTACAAAGTAGAAACTGGGAAAGCAGATATACTTTATTATAACAGTTAAGATGCTTATCAGAGTGAAAGTGCTTATTATGTAAGACGTCTCTTAAGGATAGTTCGTTTAAACTCGACTATTAGATGAGTAACTTTGCACGTAATTACAACAAAAATTACTTAATTGCTGCATTGCATTAAAAAAATACAAGAAAAAGTCCATCAGCAGTGAAATCGGTGAATATTTAATTTGCAAGTGTCTTATTAACGGGTCGTGCATTAGGTTTGTTTTCTGTGCTGTTGACAAACCTTGGTACTCTGTTAGATATGGATTATTGATGTGATATTCTAGGAAATACATGTACAGTCGCAATCAATGAAAATATATATACTCTTTGTTCAACCAAATATGTGATTTGGAAGCTGTTTCTCCTTTAAAACAGCCACCTGGAGAGTAGGCCCGACTGTTATACTGCAGGGCTTGTTGTGGTGCTCAAGGGACCTTCACCTGAGGTCTGTGTATTCTCTATCCTCCCCCTGGGATGCCCAGAGCCCTGGCCACTAACATGTATACCTGTAACACATTGCATGTTTGCAAGCTCACGTGTCTTCATTTCAACAGGCAGAGGGTGAAATCAACTCTGCTGGTACTGTAGAAGTGGAAGAAAATGAAGAGTCAGGTGATTCTGACCTTCAGGTTAGTACCATCTCATTTTTAATGTCATGTGGTTCTTGAAATTCCTCAGTGTTCGGGCACGCATTCTTTATTAGGAACTGGTGTAAGAAAGATTCATTAGTGGTTCAGAAAGTGGTGCTGTTGTGGGTCTTTTTGATCTTGCTTCAGTACAGTCTGTAATACAGGCAAATATTCAATAAATTATCCCAAACATAGAACTAAACAACATTCATTTGGAATTCCACTATAAAGCTGGAAATGTTGTGTTTGAGACAGATCAAAATCTAATATTGGCTTCAAGGCTTGATGTCTTATAGCCCTGAACTGACACAGGATTTTCCAACAAATGAGCAAAGCTCAAGTTTTCCACAATTAAGAATCAAATAACTCACCTACTACTCCAAAGCAACTCTTGAATTTCACATATACTTCTTCTAGCTCATCGTGTAGAGCTTTTGAATGTGGTGTTTGCGGTGTGAGCTTCCACTTCCTGGTGAGCGTTGGACACGGATGGCACTGCAGAGTCCTTCTGGAGATCTCGAGGCACCTGCTTGTACTTCTTGGGTTGTCACCTGTAAAAAATACTTAGAACCTCAGATAGAAAAGTCAAGAAGACTGACTTACAGGGATGTGGAATGAAATGTGGACGGCGACTCGTCACAGAGCGTGGACCGGTCAGGTGGCACTAAGGGTGACGGTGTGGTATAGAAGTCGACCCCCCGGTGTCTGGTGTCCGCAGGTGGAGCTCAGCGCCTTCCGGGCACAGTGGATGTCCGAGCTGATGCCTCCCGCCGGCTCCAGTGGTGCTAACAGGGGTCCGCTGTCACGCTCCGCGGATCTGAAACGGAAACAGGAGATGGCCCGAGAGGAAAAGGTAAAAGCAAATCAAAGCGGTTTGGCTTGCTGAAAAAGTGTGTATGCATGCTGTACTGTATGAGCTCCTGATTGAGGAAGCATTAACCCAGCCGCTGGCATGGTCCAGCGGGCCGTGAATTTATTTTATGTGATATATAATATGATTTTATTATTTGCCCGTTATGCCCGGGCGGGTCAGGTGTTATTCAGCCCTCCCTGTCCTTGGTTTCCCCAGGAACCAATCCCATTTACACGAGGGGCTGGACTCCACCCTCTCTCAGCCATCTCAACCAGATATTTAAACCTCAGCTTGCCACTTTCCTGGTGCTCTGCTATTGAGCAGCTGTTGGTCTGGTGATGCTCATCGCACTAAGAGTTCCTGTTTTGCGTAGGAAAGGCAGTTTACCTCTCTGCCTGCCTTAAGCGGTGCCTGTCCCAGTCCACAACTGGGATGATCCTGATCCCGCCCACCCTGTTTTCTGAGTGCGCACCAGGACGCCACCAGGCTGTCCTGTGGGTCCCGTCAGTCCCCCATCACCGCTCTGAACCAGACAGCCCTTCCATCCCTTTCACTGTGTCTCGCAGATGAATCCCTTTCTCCTCAGGCAGCGGCAAGCTGGCATAACATCGGCAGCCTAGTGTACAGCAAGTTCCCAGTCCACTTACTGGACCAAATAGTTTTGCTTTGGTCACTGGTAAGCAGTTGTTTACCAGTGACCAAATAACGTGTACATAATATAACGTGTGTGATAATGTATGTTGATTATGTGCCCTTTCTCAGGCCAGAGAGCTGTTCCTGAAAGCAGTAGAGGAGGAGCAGAATGGAGCTGTTTATGAAGGTGAGTTAAGCAGTGCAGTTTTCTAAATGGGCACCACGGTGGCATTTATTGCTTTAGTAAGTGCTGCTGCCTTACAGCTCTTGGGCCCAGGGTTTGTTTCTGGTTTGGGACCCCTTTTGAGTGGAGTTTGCATGTCCTCCCTCTGTTACAGGCTTTCTCCCGGAGCCTCCCGCCCAGGGTGCAGGCCTGCTTTGTGCCCTATGCTTCTGGGACAGGCTTCGGGGTTGCTGTGACACTGTGACAAGAAAAAACAGCTTTCTGGTGGTGGATGGATGGGAGTTTTCTAAATGAGATTTGCTACCGAGAGACAGACATCACAAGTAATGTTACACCAGTCAGAGACACAGCTGTCTGAGGGTCTTTAGCATGGTCATCAACATTTGATATCCTGTGTTTTCTCACATATTACTTGTGAAATCTGTAGAATCAAGATTGTTTAAACATGTTAAATGGGTGTTATTTAACCGTGTGTAAAATCTTGTGGTTTCAGCTATCAAGTACTATCGAAGAGCAATGCAGCTTGTGCCTGACATTGAGTTTAAAATCAACTACACGCGGTCTCCAGATCCCGATGGAGTTGGTGTAAACTAGTATGTGAATTTATCAGTTATTAAAGGCATATTGAAAGGCTGTCTCTGGTGGAGTAATTGTAAAGTTGTAATCGTTGATGGTTTCTGTCATTGCAAATGCTAAAAAATCAACATAACTAATAATTATCTGAAATATACTACTGTCATTACATTATAAAAGTTTTTAGGAGCATTAGTATTTAAAATGATGTCAAACTTAGTATGTTTTAATGGCTGGGCTGTGGGATATGAAGGATACACAGATTCATACTATATGAAGATCTGGGACAAATATATTGAATGTTACAAATGTTGTAAATAAAGAGTAGTCTCTACCTTTATAGAAATGCAGTTAAGGTGGAACTATTGATCAGTACTGATGTAAGAAAATACCTAGTGATGAAGTGTGCTGGTGGTATCACTTAAAGGGGAACTGCGGTCTGATATTTAATTGGTTATTAAATCTTGATACCAAAATAAATTAATTGCCGTTATTAAAAAAAATGACAAACTTTGAATTAAACACAATGAACTTTGTGAAAGTACTGTAAGTTTACGTGTTGTCACAAAGCCCTGGTCTCGTCACGGGCGAGAGCGAGAGTTCCCACGAATTGCAAAACACCTCAGCCCTTCGTGCTCACTAGTCACTGTACTGACTAGTGTGATGCGAAGTATGAGCGACTTAAGTACAGGTTGTGCAGCAGATATTTAACCACAGAAGTGTTCGATGTGGTCTGCATGCAGAGTTAACAAGTAGGTTCCTTTTTTCGGGAAAAAAACGTCTTTAAGTCGAGAGCAATATTTATAATGGATTAAAAGAAGCTTCTCTCCCTGTCTGTGTGTCTGTGTCTCCATGGAGAAAAGCTGGGGTATGCGAAAAGACAAATTCCTAATGCAAGAAATTGTATAGGGCTAATAAAGAAACATTAACATTAAGAGATGAATTCACATGTTTACAATGTAATAAGGCCGCATCATGTCACTGGAAGTTTTGTTGCCTCTTTCTGAGTCGCAGAACATGGAGGTTTTAGAAGTTACTGTGTGCGTTTTAATTTTATTGTGGTTTCTTTGTAAACTTGAAATATAAAAATAGCATTACAGTTCCCCTTAAAATAACCAATTACTTAAAATTGGCAAACTGAACAAAATGGTTAACCACTTGCTGTTAAAATTGGGTAAGCACTAACCCTTTAAATATCAAATTTTTATCAAGTGCCATGAAAAATACACTGCAAAATATATCCCAAATAACATCAATAACATTCTCTTTTAGCAGAAGCTTAAACTTTTTTTTTCCCCAATGATTTCCGTATTTGTTATGTGGTTTGCAGCATGGACGAGAATGAAAGTGATGGTGAGGTAGCTGATCTGCTGACCTATTTCCAGCAGCAGCTCACTTTGCAGGATTCATCTCTGAAGATCTGTCAACCAGAAACTGATATAAGTCAGATGCACATTTCAGGTAAATCATCACCTATTCCATGAGTATCTGATCACAAAAACGTAGGAATTTTGTTTCCATTCTACACTGCATGTCAATCAGTTCAATGTAGCAGAAAAGTGAAAAGACAGTATTAAAGAAACTGATTTATGAATGGAAATTCAAGTAAATATAATGGTGTATTAATATGGACGTTTTGTGCATATTTAATATACTATGACGTAAAGGAGGCTTCTCAAGAGCTGCATGAAAGTATGCCCATTTTTCTACACTTTAATAACTGTAATACTTTATCAGTACTGTGGAATGTTTTCACAGTCTGTTACACATGTATGAAACACGATTAGAGCACTTTTAAGGAGCACCTTAAAATAAACGATAAGTGTTTGTTTTACGTGTTTTGATGTAGTTGGTGTTTGTGTAAGTTACTAGGAGGCTGTGTGGTCCTGTGCAGTTGATTGATGATCCCACTGGTTCTGTCACCAGCTCTGCCGTTGGAGGTTCTGATGTACATTTTCCGCTGGGTAGTGTCCAGTGACCTCGACCTCAGGGCACTCGAACAGCTGGCGCTCGTGTGCCGTGGCTTTTACATTTGTGCCAGGTACAAGCTTTGCAAATCTTGTCAACCACTTCTGCGTCAATGTCTAAAATCAGTGATAAGAGGTGTTACCAAGCAGTGTGGATAGAAAGATGGAAATAGAGGGGATCTGGTGCACTTCAAGAACAGTGAAAGCAAAGTAAATGCTTTGCCACTCACTCAGATGTTTTCTGCTTTAGTGTTCATGGTAACAGATGCCGGTCGCATTAGAAAATATATTTTTAATCTGTACTTTTTCAGGGACCCGGAAATCTGGCGTTCAGCCTGTTTTCGGGTTTGGGGACGGAACTGCACCAAAACTAATCCATTTAACTCCTGGAGAGAGATGTTTTTGGAGAGGCCCCGTGTGCGGTTTGATGGTAATGTAGTGGGAGTTCATATTTTAACATGGATCTGAAAGCAGATGATTGATTCAATCATATTTCAAAAATCCATTTTTCTTTGTCCTACAGTGGCTGAGTGTACATGATGTAACAAATGTGCAATAATTCACTTAAGATACCTCACCAAAGTAGAACACAGGAAAGTTAAGGTGATGGAGCAAGGAATTAACCCAGCAGCATTGCCAAAATGTCACAGAGCAAAAGAAAAGGCGTCTGTGGCACTGTTGATATCTCCTTGGTTAAAACTCAAGTGGCAGGATGGCATGACAACTACAGCTCCCAGATCCTGGGTTGGATATTGGAATGGGGTACCTACTGTGTGGAGTTTGCGTGTTCTCTCAATTTTCTTATGGATTTTCTTTGGGTGCTCTCATTTCCTCAGATCTTCCAGAGACCTTGTAGTAAAGTTATCTAAGGTCTCTGAATTGCTTGCTCATCTAGGTGTCCTTTCGGTGCATGTTCTGTGATTGGTTCCCATTCCTGGTCCTGTTGACCCACACTCCTGCTGGTTTTCATTCCAGCTGAGCCCTCAGTTACACAGTCAGTCCCTTCGTTGATTTAAGAGTGGTTTGCTCCGAGCTCTTAAACTTGTTTGTATTCTGTAAGTGAAATTCACCAGGACCAGGACTGAGAGCAGCTGGACTAGTGCCTGGTCAGGGAATCAGTATCACCTCGTATCCTGTACTTCTTCAATAGGCTACAAGTAGCTTTGAATAAATGACTTTCTGATAATAGATGGTCAAAACCTAACTAGATGCAAAGGCCGTAATTTCGTGTGTCCTTCTAGGTGTCTACATCAGTAAAACAACTTACATCCGCCAAGGAGAGGAATCCCTGGATGGATTCTACAGGGCTTGGCACCAGGTGGAATACTACAGGTAGGCTTGTGTAGGAGTGAAAGAGCTGAGTTACCTTCTTCTTTACTGCATCTGTCTTCATAGCTGGTTAAAACTGTGAGGAAGACCTGACGCTGGTAACTGTTCCTGAACAGGTACCTGCGCTTCTTCCCTGATGGACAGGTGATGATGCTCACCACACCTGAGGATCCTCTCAGCATAGTTCCTCGTTTACGTAGTAGAAACACCAGGTAAAATGCATTTAGACCAGCGCTTTAGGTGCTTTAGCTTTAGCAGAATTGAGGTGTTGAATGTATGGAAATATATTTAAAGAGAAGAGCTTTGTATTAATCCTACAAGTATTCTAAATGACTAGCAGGATAAAAAGTAAACTTTATTTTGTGTTGAAACTATTAGTTTACCTATTTTGCTTCAACATGTTTTTGGGTGTTCTGGGTATTGAGTATTGAGTTCCTGAAGTTATTCTGGATATATGAAATTCTGCAGACGCCTTTTTTTCTTTGACATGTTTCTCTGAAATTTCTTCTGGAAACGGGAACTTCCTGACAAGAGTTTGATAAGTAAGGATTAGAGACACTAATAACTCACTTGTTTCAGAACATATCCCACTTCTCTTACGTCTGCAGCGCACCTGCCCGATCTAGAAAATACTTTGTGTGATGATTCTTCGGTGGCAAAAGTGTTGCCGGCCTTCCGCACACTAAGTGTCCTTCTGTTCTTTTCAGAATGGAATCTGTCCTGCTTGGTCATTACCGTCTGTCCCAGGACACAGACAATCAAACCAAAGTTTTTGCTGTCGTTTCCAAGAGGAAAGATGAAGTAAGTGGAAACGCCTTTAGCTTTTTATTGACTAGTTTTCTGAACTAATCTACTTTGATACATAGATCTTGCATTTACTGTCATTGATTTGTGAAGTTCAAGCAAACCTTGTCTATTAGACAACTAGAATAAGAAGAACTTAGGTTCACCTGAAATATGTTAATTTTGCCAAGAAATACTGAATACTGTAAGGCAGTGGTTTCGTAATGAATCTTGTTTAAAATTAAATGTAAAAAAGAAGCTCCAATACAGAAAACTAGTAAACTTTTTTTCAAATTCCAAATGAATGCATAATTTCATAAGGTGTCTTGCACTGACTTACAGAGATGTAAACTGTGTACTTAATCCACAAGTTTCAAATAATTACTTTGCAAAACAAATCACAGTTCTCTCCATTCTTGTTAAAACCTTTGAATTTAATCATAGGTGACCTGTGGGCACAATTTTGATATGTACTTTACATTTTTAAAGAGCAAACTGAGGGCATGAAGGCGTATACAGTCAACAGAAGATGGATGGCTATACTTCAGAAATGAGTCCCATAACATATTTGTCCTTAAAACAAAGAAGCCCTTCAAGGTTATCGATATATGATGTAAAAGATGCGATGGAAAATTGAGAATAAAGAGAAGGAAGAGAGCTCTCTACAGAGCCAGACAGAGAAAGTGAACAGAGGCGCAAGTGAAAACAGCGTTTAGATTGAAACAAGGAAAAACATTGCAGGAGAGCTAAAAAACTTGTTCTCGCCAACCTCTCTTTAGCCAGTTGAGATGTTTTGCTACTTTAAATTCTTGCATATTCGTAGTTATTTTGACTTCAATTTTTTCTCTAGGATATTAAAAACATTCTCATTTTCCACACTTCTGTTCTGAGGGGCTCCTTGGTTGTGTTGGCGTACGTTTTGAGTCATTATCATGCTGCTTCTTGAAGCGTAGCCCAATAAATATGGAGAAATGATCTTCTACAGAAATGTCTGTAAAACTCGGAATTCATTCTGCCTTTCCCACCATTAGTTACATCAGTAAAGACAAGTGAGTCACTTCCAGAGGTGGATATGCATATTCTAAGCGGGGTGTGGTGAAGAATATTGAGACGTGATCAAAACTGAGATCCATCTTCAGCTGTGATAAGTCTGATTACATCACAATGAGGAGTGATATTAGAAGAGGGAGGCCTACTTCCATGTACTCCAGAAAGTCCCTTGAAAAATAAATTGCTCTGAACTGCCCTTACTCACTGTGACTCTCAGAGAACTGGGCCCTAGTGCAATCAAACCTGAGGCATTCCTGCTGGTGTTTTTCCAGAAACCTGCAGAGTATCAGAAGAGCCGATACTTTCGCCGCGGCCCCGTGCAGGACACGGAGCACAGCTTTCACGTGGGGCTCCAGCTCTGCTCCGGGGGACGGCAGCGCTTCAACAAGCTCACCTGGATCCACCATTCCTGCCACATCACCTACAGGTGAGCTGCTCCCCGCCTGGCCCGCACGAGCAAAGCTGTCGGCTGTGAATGGAATCCTCTTTAAGTTGTCCCGAATATCGTAGAAATGTATAAGAAATTGCCCTTTCAGCTGGGTGGACAGCAGAATGAAGAGCAGAAACTTTGAAATATGGAAACGTGCCGTTATTTTTTTTTTAATTGCTGTTTCAGGTCAAGTGAAGAAACAGTCGTCACGGCATTTGAAGTCGACAAGATGTACACACCTCTGTTCTTTGCACGAGTTAAGAGCTACACTGCACTCTCAGAAAAGCCTCTCTAATGTGAGGAAATCGGAAGCTTTGCATTGCATGAGCATTCGCAGGCAAAAAAAGAAGTTGAAGCTATACCCCTTGCAAAATTCAGTTGACTGTCCCTTGTTTTATGCTGGATTATTATTTTTTGATGAATGTATAATGTGAATTTTTTGGCTTCTCTTGATTTGAAAAGTTTTAAGATAAGTTAGTTTTAACTTAATCAGTATGCACGCACAAGAACTTCTGGAGTACTTAGCAGGAAAAAGTAATTTATAATTCATCTGATTAATGTTTTTGTCACTACACTGAGTGGTGCCTATGTGCATCAGAATGTTCTGCACATAAAGTCCACATCTTTGTGTCCTGAGGAACAGTAAAGTGCAAGAAACGCCAGTAGCTTATAACTTCTGTCCACTTCATTCATACTTTGATTTTTTTCATATTAAGGATTGACTTTGCTATAGTCAAATGAGTGTAACACTGTTAATAAGTCCAGAGGAGCATATAATAAAGTTTTATCAACACAACATTCTCTCTTGGGATTTTCTGCTTCTGTCTACAGGAAGGGAAGGTCACAAATTAACTTTGTTTAGAAATTAAATGCGAAGGAATTAATATTAATGAATACTAATCACTTAATGTCACATTATATAATATGCACAAATATCAGGTGTTTAAAGGAAAATTTTAAACAACTGACCAAATTAAAACTGGCAAATTACAATGGAGAGGCACCTAATCTCAGTGATTTATTTTCTGGAGGGGTGGTGTGATTTTGCGACTTCACCACTGACTTATGCCACAAAATCTTATTTATGACACTCTCAATGGAGGAAGTGGGATGTACTTTGAACTCAAATATAGTTGGAGTAGAAATTAGTTTTAAATCCAGGAACAAACAGACCCTCACTCATCACAGGAGGATTGACGGCAGTCATACAGGGATACCTTCAAGAAATTCCTTCCGTGCCTTTCACACTACTTATTTCTCTGTCGTAATTGTGCAGTCATCTGAATCGGATCAGGCTAAACACTAAGGCCAAAATCATGGTGACCTCACACTGCATCTCCTTAAGGCTTCCTGAATCACAGCAGTTGACATAAGTGCTGGGTCTGGTGCCCCTTCCTCCCTGTAACCTGCATCGCACCCCTTATTTGCTGGCATAGGCTCCAGCTCCTCGTAACCCTGGAGTGAAGAAAGATTATTAGAAGACGAATAAAAGGGTGGGTGTTTTCATAGGATAAGCCTGTTAAAATAAGCTTGTGCAATGCTAATACTGCACTGGCACCTCTGGCTTGAACGAATCATGCCCCACCAGTCGTTGTGTCACCCCTGAATAACGGGACGTTTTGTTGTCCTCACTAGAACAGTATGCCTTATTGTAACTTGTTGGCTCAAAAGGAATTTAATCTACTGTACATGCTACTGTAATACCGAGTAGTTGTTCATACTGTGAATGAAATTTAAGATCTTGTGCGAATGAGAGTGAAACATGAGGAATATGTATTTATTTGAGCTTGGCTTAAAACACGCTTTGTATTTTTACTGTTTATGATGCCTGCATTGGTTACGTGTCCACAGGCCTGCATTGGAATTGCTTTGTTTAGACAGCTGTAGGTTAAGCATGAAGGCAGCGGTATATTTTGGGAAACAAATCGGCACCGAAAGGCTTAGGAAAAGACAGAGTACATCTGGATTACACACAGGTGCGAGAAACTGTCAGGCTGGCAGAATGGAATCCAAAAAAGTCGATGGAAAGTCACCTGGGAGGTGGCGATTGTGCAGCCTTAGCTCATGCACAGTATGCAAAGGAACAAATAAAGGTTAAATTCCAGGTTGAAGGAATTTAAATACAAAAAATTATGTTTTATGTCAGGCAGAAATAAATACAAAAAACATCTGGGATTTTGCTGTGAGCAACTTCAACACCTGAAGAACTCTCAAGAGCTGAAACCTTGTGCGGCTCGTTTTTTCTTTTCAGCGTGGAATGAACCTGGTCTTGTTCCACTGAAGCTGACGCAGCTCCCCACTCGCGCCTCCAGTGCACGGCACGCCTGTGTTACCCAGTGCTTTCACCAGGTGGCGCCAAAGCAAGCTGTTTGACGTGTGGGTTTTACACTAGTGCTTTATTCCAAACGTTTGTTTTAAAATCTTTTGAAATAAACAGAATTCACACAACTAAGCAGATAACTAAAGTATTTAAAGCTGTTATTCTGGAACAAATAATTAGAAGCTACAAGGTGGTATGTTTAAGTATGCGGATAGGAAGTACTTCTTCACACTGAACAGTGTCTGGAACCCTAGGCCTTTCTGTAGAGATTCAAAAATAATGACCAACATTTACAAAACGTAATGCCTCATTTAGGTTGTTACTTCATTTGATAAAGTTGGTTTATCACAAATATGTAAAGGTCACAGAGCTTTTCTTAAGGGTAGATTGCATGTGTTAAGTATGAAAGTTGGGTAGTTCAATATACGTGACCATCGTATTGCAAAAGAATGATAATCAAGTTCAAGTTCAAATAACCTTGACTTATTTAGCACACGTGGCTAAATTAGCTAACTAAGTCTTGCTAAAATTATAAATTATGATGAACTTTCTCTTAAATGTTAATGATTCCCCACAGATTTTCAGCAGTGGTAACCCACGTATTTATAATTCTAGCAAGACTTAGTTACCTAATTTAGCCACGCGTGCTAAATAAGTCAAGATCAACATGATCTTTAGTGACTGAGCTGTGAAGCCTTGAGGATCAGAGCCGTCACTACAAGGGATGCCGACCATTTCCATAATACAAACACTAGGCTGTCATCAGTCATTCGTACAGTTTGAACATGAAACATGGAAGAGGTAAAAAGTTCACATCCTGCTCCCTTACCACCGAACCCTTAGTTTCTAGTACAAAGCTCAAAAGTAGTTAAATGGGAGGAATTCAATTTCATTGTGTAAAGCCGACAACCGATTGTAAGGAAGATTAGGCACCAGAGCCATTCAGCCGTGTGATGTTACCAGTAATCACAGAGACCTCTGGAGCCATACCTCATTGTTATGACTGGATCTCTACAGGAATAATATAAGAACAGGGATGAGCAAACAGCCACTGAGAGTAACAAGCCGATCCTGCAGGACGATAAGGAAGAACTGTAATACAAACACACGTAATCTTGCAATGCGCCAACATTGATTAATGTTTCAATAGATGAATGTTTGATTGTGGTCTGCTCCTACTCTATAACAAGTATGGATGCTCTGGGTTGAAATACTTTACTGAGACAAATGCTTTGTGTCCAAGACTTGCTTTCAGGCTTAATTAGCTGTGTGCTCTTGTACATTTCTCCAGCCCAGACTCAGGAGTGATTTTCACATTACTTTTGAAACCTTTGCCGCTTACCCACAGGATGGCTCGCTTCTGTTTTATAGTTCTGCCCACACACCTGTGGCTCTTGATTCCACCTTAGTCTCTAGACTACATTGAAATTCTTAATTGTACTAACAATTTACTTGACTGGAGCCTTTGGGTGTTTTCTTTGTACTAAAATGTTGATCTTAACTTCCTGGTGGAGGGCAGTAGCCGAAAATGGTCACGTTTTTTCCCTGCCGAAAACAAAAAGTTTTAAATTAATCCTGTTATCACGTCAATTAAATGTTTGATGTTTGGACTGAGAGCTGGGCCGAAAAATCAGTGTTGTGGAAACCCATGATATTTCCTGACTTGACTGTTGATGTGTATCAGTGCCAGTTCTGAGTGAATTTTAATCAACAAAATTTAGCCATGTATCAGATTATATCAGATGGAAGTATGGGAAAGAGCTTTGTCAGAAAAACACCCCCATTTTACCAACAATCGTGGGAGAATTTAGACTGTTTCTTTATGACGCAGGTGTTCACTGCATGTGCATAAATGCATACAAATCTGACACAGCTTGGTCTGTGGTCCCTAAACCAGTTTTGCTGGCTTAATGTAAAAAGTATGTTTTCCCCGTGATGCTCTGGGCTGATAAGCAGAAGTGCAATTCAAAACAATGGAATCTCCCCTCCTCCTGCTGTGTTCACATTTCTTCCTGTCTTTTCTTATCTTTGGTGTCGGAGTCTCAAAAGTTGTTCTGTTAACCATGCATGGGGGGGGAACGAAGCAGCCAGCATTGTACCTCTGTAGCATATTTTCACTTTTGCATTATAAATGTGCCACTTGGGTTTGGTTGAAGAAGTCTGTCCTTTGACAAAGTGTTTCAGGGGAACACATTGGGTGTTACTTTACGTGCTGAAATGACTTTTAAAGCCAGAGCTCATTCCAGCTGCAGCAGCATCACACTTGCAGAAATGGGTGACTCTGGTGTTGTGTGCACCAGCCCCCCACCACATCTCCTCTCTGTCCCTCAACAGACCACGGGATATTGGAAAGGTTTTGTTGATGTGCAAGTTGGGAAGGTCAGAAGGTAGTAATGATTAATAGTAAGAGAAAGATGGTATATTCCCTTCATTGTGACACAGAAGTGAATTTCAAGGTGACAATTTTACCAAGAAGAACATAGGGTCTATTCCTGACTTTTTTTCCCTGGTCGCTCCAGAACACACCTGAATAATCGGTGACGTCAGTGGTTCAGGTGGAGGTCTCTGTGTGCACATTTATTAAACACAACAAACGCGATACAAGATAGCACTTAAATCCTTCATCATCCAAGAATCAAAAACAACTCAGAGTGTCTGTCAGATAAAAGAGTCCATTCAACCTCTTCTGCCAAGAATCCAAAAGCATGAGAGGGTGATGGATGGCAATAGCACAAACATCAGTTCACAGCTGGCTTTTACCCATTATTGCAGTTGCCAGTATGTCTTTCAGAAGTGGTTTAATGCACAGTGAATAATCTAGAGCCGAGTTTCTTGGCTTCATTTGAGAAGAAAATGGTTTATATTTTTCAACCGAGACACCAATGAACTCCATTCCATTTGGCCAATTCAATTGCTCTCATGGGTGTCTGACATCTGACCGTATGGAAAGATTGGTTTTGCATGGAAGAAAGCCAATAATACTGACAAACAGTAGTTCGGGTATAATTTAGAATGAATGAGGAGAAATTTCCTTTCTCAATGCAACACCTAATTCATCATACTGCAGTGTATATACAAAAAAACATAAAATACATTGGCAATAAGTACATGATTTAAAGCAAAAAAATGCTTTTCCCTCTTAAAATTAATTGCATTGTGTCAGAGTAATATTATATTTAAATGTTTTTTCCCATTGGGGTTTTGCTTAACTCACAAAGTATGCTCTTTCCTCTGTGGCATGACAAGTACTGGCAAGTCTTCCTTCAGAAAAGCTCTGCTCATTTGGTTTCATTATCTGCAAGGGTGACGGGGGTATTGAATGGCTGAGATTCTGTTTCTGAAAGTACAAGTCCTCTTCAAGATGTCTGTCTGTGGTGAGAAAAGTGCTGTCAGGGATCCAGAGCTGTTTTCTCTCACACTCACCCAAACTGCACAGCGGGCCAAAGTCTGAACTCGACCCATATAAACTGTTTTTTGGTACAATGGGCTGAATATTCTGTAGTGAGACATCTAAGAAGTTTTGTGAACCACTAAATTCATAAGTGCTTCCATAGTCCTGCATACGTCCATGTGAGGGTTTGCTTGGGCCAGTGTAGGTTTGGGCTATCTTACTCCAGGGCTCCTCATAGTCATGTCCACCTGCAAACTGGACACAGGGACCATAACACCTGCCAATGTCCATTTCCAGTGGGCTTTCAGCTGTGTAAGATATTATTGCATTCCCAAAGCTCCTTGGGCAAGAAATACTACGTCTTTTGTCCACATTGTTTTGATAGTGGTCTGGGATGGGTGATACAGAAGAGAAGGTGACATCCTGACTTGGTGCCATACCTGGAAAATGCTAATAAAACAAGACAAAGTGTCAGCTGGAATCACGGCACCATGTGCTCTTACTGGCCAAGATCTTAGGAATCACATGAACAGACTGTTGAAAACTACTAGAATGTGCATGTCTCACACACCATCACTCTGATCACAACCTGTGTCACTCACAGGGGGATGGGATTAGGCTGCACACCACAGAACACTGTGGAATACAAGCTTGCAGGTGCTTGCAGAACCCCACTGTGTGGTTTAGGTGAGATTCCTAGTAGTTTGGCCAGTGAGTGCACAATATAAACATTGGAAATTCACTGTCTGCTCTCTTAACCATATGCTTATGACTTGGCAGTTGGAGCAGTACACCTGTGCTTGCGTGATCTATTCTGTTCACTTTGCAAAGCTTTAGCTGACAGAATGCAGCATCTTTAAAGAGTGAGACAGTCAGCCTCAGGGAAATGACATCCTGGTGACAGGGTGAAATATGTGAGTCTCCTAAAGCTTAATTACTTATGGTGAGAGAAAGCCAATCAAACAATATTTAAAAATTCTTTAAAGTGAGTAAATAAACATTAAAGCAGCCCACACAAATGAAAAAGCAGCACATACAATTCAGAGATTTCCTAGAGGTCATGGATGCCCAACATTCCTGCTCGGCTGAAATGAAAAGTTCACTGATACTTGTAAGACCCAACCGCATCCTTTGTAAAGAACTCAGTTTGATCATACCTCCTCATCCCGCATTTTATTGAAATTAGAGGACTTCAAGGGGCTGATTTTTCTTCGACCCAGTTTTCTAGCCTCTGCTTCCAGTTTAGATTCCGGCTTGGGGTGGTCATGCTGTCCTTTGGACTAAATCAGAATAAAAAGGAATACTGTCATAGGAACAACTAACAGCCATGTACCTCACTGTTCACACCTCTAGACATCTTAATATAAAAGAAATCATGATGCAATACCCCAAATTGAATTATCTGTGGTACATACAAATTGCGGTACATCCAAAATATTTGTGAATAAAATGGAACAGTAAAAAGCCACAAACATATATTTTCCTAGCCCACAAAGTAACCTTTGTTACATATGAGAAATGTTGCCTTTTCATTTGTAGAATTGTTGTTGCACTAACAGCACAAATCAATAATCCTGGGGATCAATTTGTTTCATTGCCCACCTGAAAAAATATATATGGTCCTTCTTGTCTCCAGAAATTGGTGACAGGGTATCCACCATTTCCTTTACAGCACAGTAGTCTCAGAGGTGCATTGCAGTTTGGACACTCCTTTTCTAAAACAGAGAAATTGAAATATTGAATCATCTTCAGCAGGTGCTTTTTACATGTGTATTCCTATCTGAAGGATTCCTATCTGAAGTTATTTGCTAAACAATGGGCACTAACATTGGCCCCTAGAGATTTTCTCACTACACCTGTCTGAGATGAGGACTGGCTTCTCTTACTCTGCTGCTTCTGCCTGGCCTTGTCGCAGATGGCCGGCCTCAGGTGGATCTCCCTGCTGTCCGCGGTGGTGCAGTTGTTGCTGCAGACCACCACCCCCAGACAGGACTTCTTCAGGATGCGGGAGTTGTGGTTGTTGGTGTTCTTCATTGCCCAGCCACTCAGGTGTCTCTGTGCGTTCTTCTCCTCCGAGCTGTAGACCAGTTTGACATAGGAGTCTGTCCACTCCTGGAACACGTCTGTCTGCTTTACAGCCTTCAAACAAAGAGACGCTGGACTTAATCCTGCACCTGGAATGAATGAGTTCAGGACTCATGTTCCTTTTCTTGTTTTTTGGTCTGGTTTCAGGACGTCCTGGCTGAGCTTCACACTTCTCATAGGACGAGTAAGACACATTCTCTCTTAATTGTCCTTTCTGTTGATGTAACAAAACATGCTGTTTGACCAGGGTTATAGCAGTTTCTATTCTCCTAGTTCTGAATGTGTTATTTCCTTCTAGATCAAATAATAAGTATAAGATCATGAGAGGGCAGAAGGGTTTGCATTAGTGCCTCACAGTACAGGGCCCCTGGGTTCTGTTCCCAGTTTCAAATCTGTGTGGAGTCTGTATGTTCTTCCCATCTTCGAGTGAATTTCCTCTAAATGCTGCAGCTTCTTCCCAGAGTCCAAAAACATACTGCTAGGTTAACGAACTTCTGGGAAAATTAGCCCTGGTGTGAATGGGTTAGGGTTAGGGAAGAAAGCTCCACAGCCAAAACATTGTGTTTCCTTTCTTCTCTTTTCAGCAGGAATAAACCTGTTACCTGTTCCTTTGCAGCCTGCGCATACTGACGCAGCTCCCCACCTGAACTGCTTCAGCCTAGTGTGAATGTGTGCATGCCTGTGCCTGTTTCTCTGTGTGTCCTGGGATGGACGTGGAAGTGATTGAAATGAAAGAACCGGCTAGAAACAAGATGGACAGAGGAACATAAGCAAGACGGCAAACAAGAAGGGCCCCTCTGACCCCTTTGGTAGTTCCAAGCTAAATGATGCCAGGATCTCATCCAGCCATTTCTTGTAGGAAACCAGGCTATCAGCTGGGTATCTTGTTCCAGACTTCCACAACCCTTTAGGTAAGGAAGTGCCTCCCGTTCTCAAGTTTAAAAGCACTTCCACACACTGTACAGTACCTTCCACTGGTGTCCACTGCTAAGAGTATTTTATTTGTTATTTTGATTTAATATTGTTCAAAATTAATACCCAGTGCTGTTTCTTTAATTTAATATGGCTTCAACAACATAGGAACAGTTACAGAAGAGAGAGGCCCATTCCTGTTCATTTGCTAAAGGATATTTGTCCATTGTCTCTGTAGCCAGATGGCTTAATTACTCTGACTTATGAAAAAAAAAGTTTTATTCCTTTTAAATTGGACATGTAGGGCTTTGTAAAGTTATACTGAAGAACAAGTGTAGTAGAATCAAAAACTAGTGTTTGACAAGGGCGTGGTTTTGTCAGAGGAAGCCACAAATCTGTGCGTCAGCTTCCTCAAGGTATTTAAATTAAGCAGCATGGATGACATCGTCGACACTGTCTCCTTGTTTAGAGAACAGTGGTTTTGCTCAGCTTCAGAAAAACAGAAGCCCAGAAATAAACGAGTAGCATAATCAGTACGCGTTAGCGGCAAACCGGTGTGAAAGGCGAGTCAGGTGTGGCTGAACTGAAGAAAAACAGACAAGGTAATTAAGGGTATTTAACCATTGAAACAGAAGCTTCCGGAAAGGGAAGGGCTTTCACCATCAGGAATACGGTAAAAATTGTAACTCATTCTGTTTATTTAGTGATGCTGTCGTTTCAGCATCGTTTACACCATCATTAAAGGCCAGAAAGGGATTTCCGAGCAGTGAAACCCCACAAAATCACCCAGTAACCCAGAATTACCCACTCGTCCAGTCGACAAATTGTCTTGGGGATTTAATTTATTCAGCAAACAGGACTTAACATCATTTTAAAACAAACAAACAAAAAGTTTGAAAAAAAGTAAGTACTTGGGTTATGAACTCTTTATGGGTACAATTCGTATATTTGTCTGAAACGTCCGGTCGGTATGATTCGCATCTGTATGGAACCCCCCCCCCACACACACACAATCTCTATGGCAGTATAATTAACGATTACAGCTTCTTGAACATGATCCGTACTATTGTCGCCTGGAATGAAAATGAAGGACAGAAAGGGCAAGGGCAAATATAATTTGTAATGTAGGAGGTTTTCTGCAATGTTCCTTGTCGTTTCAACACATAATCCGACAAGGTGCCGTTCAGTTACAAGCCAGTGACTGGCAAGAGCCGCAGGTCGGACCTGTACAGGGGGCAGGGCTGTGTGTGAGGCAGCCGAGCTCCCGCAGGCGTCAAGGTGCGATGAGAATCTAAGACATTTTCACTCGCTTTTATTAGGGGTGGAAGTGACATATTTGTAAACGTTATTTTCTTTATTTGATGTAAAGCAGCAGTATAGGTGCTAGACATTTGCTAGGTTCCACTCGAGTTAACGCGGGTTTGATAAAATGCCGATGTTAATTTTTCTTGTGTTTTGGTTAGTGCGATGCAAATCGAATACCTGTTTTGTAGCTTTTACTCCTGTTGGCTTCCACGTGAACCTTTTTTTGTGAGCCAAGCGATAAAACCTGCATTAAATCTTCAAAACCTCTGTAAAGCAATAGCTGTAAAAACGTAGCACGATACTTCCCCCTAATATTGTTATTTTTGTACAGGTAAGATTTATTTAATTATGCCTTAATATTTGATTAAATATAATGGTCCCGTAATCTGTGGGTAAATGATTTTCTTAAATACTTTTTTACGATTTGATCTGTTGTTATCTTAGTGATATGAAGTGATGAACATGACCGATTTATTCCCTATCCAAGTAAAGCAAGATTCATGGACATTTTTCATGACCACTTTTTTGGTATTTATTTCTCTGAAACTGCCTGTTTTGCTGATACTTGTAATTTATTTCTTAATTAATTTCTAGACAGGAATGTATATAGTTCTTTATTTGGAAATGTGCATGTCTAGTTACAGAACTTTTACAGTGTCAAGACAGTGTGGGCAAATTTAAAAAATCCTTTTTAAGCAGAGGTCAAATACTATGCTGCACATCAATCCATGCATAGAGCCTTTTTGGTTTAGTTTTCTATTTTAATGTAAATTCTTGTCAAAGAGTCTGCAGCTGGGTAGCAGGTTGTGTTGTACTGTACTCACCTGAGGGAGGCTGATGTCATTAATGTCCCAGGTTCTGTCCATGTGTGAGGGAAATTGCTCTGTCACTGTTATCTCACCAGCACTGTCTGACATGTTCACACACAGGGCTCCACAGTTAAGGAAATAAAAAGAAATGTATGACTGTGAAACTCCACAACTTCAAGTCATATGATACTGATAAGCATAAACAATATTCTGCATGCAAAACCTGTTTGGGTACTTGACTTGTAAACAGCTCGTTTTTTTTTCCCACCAGAGAGTGACAGACTTTAGTTTAGTATGTGAGACAACATCAAAATCAGGCACTGGTTAACTTGATAACAAGCGCATAGGGGTTTCAATTTATGGTATAGACCTTCCTCTCAGAAACCCAGAAAATTCAGCAGAAAAAACGAATGTCATTTTTTAGTGATTCGATTGATAACATCTTTTCTTCTTACTCCCTTCATATTTCTAATGTGTGTCACTGCAAAAAACATATACAACGGCAAAAGGAATTGAGATCCTTTCACTTCAACACAACATTGGTAACACTGTGAATCCCAGATATTGACCTGGTCCAGGATCTGTCTGTGCTTGCAATCAAGTTCCATGAAGCACTTCAGCTGTGCCAGAATGACAAAGTGTTATTTATTTATTTTTATTTTTTTAAATGTGCCATCTACCACAATATCAATAGTGTTACTTCATCATCTAACAGATTATGGTCAATTGCTTTTGCCAATTACTAAAAAAGCTGCGATAGACGCTAAACTGCATTACATTTAAGACTGGGCTAGAAAGGCTATGATAGCACATTCCATAAACCCCCAAATTTCAGTGAATTTACAGAAAACATCTCTTTGCGTACTTCAAGACATCGCTGAATGAGATTCGGGATGAGATGTGGACATGATGGAAAAACAAGAGCCAATCATTTCTGTTTGAACTGGTTTCATTTTGCCTGTTCTCACAGGAGGACAGTGTACTATTTAACAGTAAGTATCTATTAAAAGTGTTCACACAGTAGTATTGTAAATCATGCTGGTACGTACCTCATTTATTTAGATGATGGGGGGATTACTGTCTCTTCTTGAGCATTCAGACAGGGATATCTGTGCTCACCGGCTCCCACCTGGAATGATTACAGTGCTCTTACCTGTAGGAGTCAAGAAGGCTCAGTGCCCTGCCCATCAGGCTGTTCTCAGATTACAGCAAGTGCCTGCCACTGGGACACAAGTGACAGTCCAGCTCTGCAGTTCCTTTCCACTTCATTTAAAGATCAGCGTTGAACATGCATTTAAGTGTTGAACAACGATATACAGGTACATGCTGAAATAGTGATGACTTAATATTATCTGATTATTAATGATCAAATGAGAGGTCTGTGACTTTGAGTAGGATGTGTTTCTTCTGGGAGCTAGCATTAATGCTTACGGATGTAGACAAAAACATAAAGACATAAAATAAATTATCATGAAAAAAATAAAAATGACTTTTTTTTTCTTCTTTTTTTTATGATAAAGATATTCTGGAATGCAATGGAATATAACACCAGGAAAGTACCTGTATCAAGATCTGTTATGTTTTGTTTGTAGGAATAAAGTAATCTATAGTAATTAATTTTATGTGTATTAAAAAATACAAATGTATTTTTTGCTAAAAAGTAACATCAGTATAGTGCATCCACCTTGTCTAAAGGCAGGGCCTGGTATTTGCATTCACATAAATGTGAGCTGAACGGCAAAACAGGACTAATTAAGGATTCAAGAAAAACACCTATCTTTTCTGTGTGAGGATTAAAACAAGATTTCTGCAGTACCGCCAGAGAGGAGTGGGACCGAATCTAAATCTTTGGCAACCAAGAGAGAAAATGAAACGATCTAGCAGAGCCAGTGAAAAGACAAGGTTATCCTGTCCAGACATGAACCTCTGTTCATTTTATTTTCTTTTTGAAACTTCTAGGAAAAAATTGATTCTCAGGAAAGACTAGGCGAAGAGGGGCGTTTTCTTTCAGATACTATATGCCAGTATATTAAAATGAAAAAAGTATATAAAATAAAAAGCATGGAATGCAAACATAAGGCACGTGTATGAACACTAGTCAAAATATCACACTACCTCCTAAAAACTGTTTGTCCCAATTTATTAATTAAAAAAAAATCTCTTTATCTAAGTAGTAACTGTAACTGATTACTTTTTAGAAGTCCATGCATCCATTTTCCAACATGCTTATCCAATACAGGGTCATGGGGGAGCTGAAGTATAACCTGGCAGGTAACAGGCACAAGGCCAGGTAGAGATAGGGTACCCCCTGGACAGGACTCCAGACCATCGCAGGGCACACACAGATACACACAGACACACACTCTCACTTTTAGACCAGAGCTAAATTATTTTCAGGGTCACTGAAACAGTGACACAATTTAGTTGTTCTGCTCTCTTCAACAACGACATCTGAGAGAGCAGATTTGTAAAAACTAAAAAAAACCCTGGGTGAAGTTACATTTTCCTAATTTACTAATTTCTCAGGTGGGAATGTATCTGCAATTTAATTAATCCAAGCACCTGTAATTGTGAAAAATGTTTTGTTATATTTGATCTTGTCTAAAACTGGCATTGTTCTTTGACGTTGCAATCAGAAGATTTGTAATATTTAAGGTTTGTAATACCTTTAGCCTATTCTCATTTTCTCAGATTTTTGTCATTTGTTTCAGTGCAAGCACAAGCTGTATGCTATGAAAAGAAAATATAGAGAGAGAGCACAACACCACCCTGCAGTTTTTTATCTTCCTGGCAACTACACAATCTCAGTCATAAGTTAGATAATTGAAACTAAAATCACATTAATTATATCCTGTTCTGTATCAGCAATATTCCAAAATAATCAGTGATGAGTTCCTCAGCCAAAGGTACAGCGTGTAGTATCCTCAGCTACTGTGTTTTTGCAAACCCAAATCAAAACACAGGCTTTTTCGGTTTGGCATGTGAACCATTCATGTGCATTACCCAAATGATGGGCGTCCGAGGCCGGAGGCACACTGACATGTTTATCTGTTAGCGTGGCGTTAGTCATGATTTTAAAGGCAAAGCTATTTGTCAAAACGACTTCAAAGTTGTGCGATTCCTTAGCATGAGACCCATTGAATAGTGTTAATCTAATATACATTTTTTAGTTGCTATGTTTAAAATTTGGTTAGCAAAACCTTCAAAGTAAATACTGATGTACACGGTATGTTTTAGACAGGTTCTTAAGTGCTGATTGGTGATGACACACAATTACAGGCACCGATGCTATTGCTTTTATTTCCTCTTCTGGCTTAATGGTGTGAGTGGTGGAGCCTGTTGGAGTCTGTATTAGGTTACAGCCAGGAGTCATCAGGAGCTGGGGTAGAAGATCATCACCAAACACAGGTGAAATGATTTTTAAACAGTTGCCGGTTGACAATTGCTGCATTTTTTAATTTTATGAAAACCCACGTGCTGGAAAAGCGAAACATCCAAGACATCTCACAGGGCCACCCTGTCAGTAGGAAAACTTGCTGAGCCCTGGTCACCACACACTTCTCAGCCTGGCTTCCTGGCACCTCCACCTTAAACACCGTCAGTCTCTGACCCACCCCTCCTTTATGATGAAGAAGTTGGGGCCGGGGACAGCTCTATTCAGACAGCAAAGGATGCAAGAAACAATGGGGAAAAACTGGAGCAAGAGGATAAGAATTCACTCAAATGAGGAAGGAAGTGCACACTCCAGGCAGAAGGTGCCTCAGCCCGTAATCACGTTCAGAGTCAAGAGCTGTGAGGTGGAGGAGCTGAGGCCACTGCTGATTCAGTCTCCTCCGGTATACTGAGACGGTAATATACACAAGTATCATAGGGACTCAACATGAAAAGGAGGGGAGGGAACTGTAGATACTGTGGTCACATAGACGATATTTATATATATTTTTTTAACCAAAGGAATTAAATGACGTCAAGGGCGTCAGTTCTCGTGGTATAGTCAGAGTTCCCACACCTGCCAGAATCACAACGGGTCCCAATCCTACTGGGAGAGGGAGGAGGGAACTCAGTTGAACTGGCAGCCCAGTATGTGATCTCCTGTCACAGCCTGAGGAACAGTGAGTCTGTCTCCCAATAATGCCCCATATGTTTACAGTATATGTAAATATTTTATGATATTTCTCTGTTGTAAATGTCTGTAATATGTCTGTAGATTTTATTTTACTTTTATTTTATGTTTTGTTCTATGTTAATTTTATTATTTTTATTTGCTTTGGCAACACTGATTGTACCCATCGGCAATGCTAATAAAGCACCTTGAATTGAATTGAATAGTCAATTTTGTGGTTCACAGCGCCATCTGCTGGTCGGATCGCGTTAAAGTAGAACACGATTCGAGTCACTTTTTACAACTGCTTTGTGAAAATTGGGGTGTGATCTTTGTTGCCTCGTTTACAATACCAGAACCGTATCTTATTTTCGTTTACACAATCATAAACACGTTATTTAATAAGATTCAATGGGCTCTTTAGGTAGCCGGTCACATCAGGTCGAACCTCTTGGTAATAAAATGCTGTAATGTACTGCAGACCCCTGCGGGTCGTGCCTGTGAACTGCGGAGGACACCCAGTACCGCACCCGGAACAGCCGGTCGGGCGGATTACACAACACGTGTGCATGCTCCGCAGCGCAAAGTACAGTTTTGCGCCATAGTTTGTTAAAACAACACCTCAGTGTCGAAATCGTGCCTACAGGCAAAACCGAGCTGATTATTTACAAAGGATAGATGATTCAAAGGGTAGACTTTGAGCATTAGTGTCCTTAACGCAATGCAGCCGAATTACCTCCTTTCACCTTTAAAGAGATTATGAAATGTGTTTAATCTAAGAGAGAGTGTCCTGAACTGCTGAAAGAACCATGAATCTAAATTACCTCTTAAAAATGCACTTGTAAAATATTTTTATGAGCAAGACTAAAATTGCATTTAAACAGTGGAGTTTATTATTATTATTCAGACTCTTGGCATTAATGCCCTTTTTAAAATTATATACATATTTGTGAATGACTGCTCCAGCTGAAGACTTCCAAGAGGAAGATGAGGGACAGTAAATGTTTAGGTAAACTAAAGAACAAAATTGCAAATTGATAATAAGTCCTTGCTCTTTTCTCCACTCAAAGCGCTTTACAGGTAATGGGGATCCCCTCCACCACCACCAGTGTGCAGCCCCACCTGGATGATGCGACGGCAGCCATAGTGCGCCAGAACACTCACCACACATCAGCTATCAGTGGGGAGGAGAGCAGAGTGATGAAGACATTTTTAATGACCACAGAGACATAGGACCTCGGTTTTATATCTCATCTGAAGGACGGTGCCTTTTACAGTACAGTGTCCCCATTACTAGAGTGAGCCATTAGAACCCACACAGACCGCAGGGCGAGCGCCCCCTGCTGGCTCCACTAACACCTCTTCCAGCAGCAGCCGTAGCTTTCCCAGGAGGTCTCCTATGCAGGTAATAACCAGGCCCACCCCTGCTGAGCTCCAGTGGGCTGCTGGCTGTGAGTTGCAGGGTGACATGGCTGCTGGGTATAGAAATATGCTCATTGCAAGTATATAGTAAAGTTATGGTGGAAGCACCTTTGGCAGCCGTTACAACCACTGTGTCTCAACCAATTTTTTCCATTCTTCCTGTCAGATGTGTTCAAGCTCTCTCAAGGTGCTTGTGGACAGCAGTCTTTCCAGAGACTCTCGATATGATTCGAGTCAGGCCTTTGACTGGATCACTCAAGGACAGTCCCTTTCTTGTCCTGAAGGGCACTGCAAGAACACTGCAGTGTAGCTCTGGCCATGTGCTTTGGATCATTGTCCTGCTGAAAGGTGAACTTTTGTACCTGTTTAAGGTTTTCCTCTGTGATTTGCCAGTTCTGTACTTACCCTGTGTCCACATCAGTCCTGACAATCTGCCCAGCCCCTGCTGATAACAAAAACTCGAATATAATGTTGCCACCACCATGTTCCTCAGTAGGGATGGTGTTGACTGAGTGATGCGCTATGTTGGCTTTGCATTAGATGTAATGCTTTGCAATTAGATTAAAAAGTTCCAATTTTGTTTTATGTGACAAAACCTTTTACCACATTTGCAGTATCACTTAAATGTTTTGCTGCAAACGCCATGCGGTATCTGAGATGGGTTTTCCACTCTGCCATACTGGCCAGGTTTGTGGCGTGGCTGAGATAGCTTTGCCTCATGCACATTTACTCTCATCACTCTCACTGAAGGGTGTAACTCTTTCGAAGTCACAGCTGGTTCACAGTTGCATGTATATCCAATTTCCTCCCTGGCCAGCTGCTGATGTAGGAGGAACAGCCAGATCTAGGCAGTGTCTGGCCACTATGAGACATTCCACTTCTCAATGATCGACTATATTGAAAGGCATATTCAGTGTTTTTGATTTTTATATCTTTCTTATGATCCGTGGTTTTCTACATCACTATCCCTGAGTTGGTTTGAGAACTCCTTGGTTTTCATTTTGAATTTTTGCTTGAAATTCATTACCTGACTAATTGACTTTACAGGGATAGTTGTGAAATCTGTGAACCACTATTACTGAACCCAGTGGCCACTTATCTAATTGTGTGGCTTATTAAAGTAATTATGTACACATACATTAATGTAGCTTTTCCACAGCAAAGAGTTTGGTAAAGTCATGTCTACAATTACAATTTTTAGTGTGACATTAACACCTTTTATTTATTGAAATTCAATGACATTACAGTTACATTACATCAGTATTTCCTTCCATTGCAGTACTGTTAGGTGGTTATCACTAATCTGGCTCCATTTAAATCCCAGGATCTTCTTCCTCTAAGCAAAGATGTTTCACTACCACATCACGTTATACATCCACATCCAGGGAACTATATGCTTTTTATTACTTTTCAGCATGATTGAGGATTTAACATTTCAGATGCACTGATTTTCCATGATCACAGTAAGATATCAAGTTTATCCAATGAAAACTAACAGTGCATGTCAAGACTATAGCATTGGCTATTCTGCAAGGGCTGATTTACAGTTTTATGAAAATGAACAATGAAGCCGTCAATCAACTCTACTTGATGCCAAGTTGTTGATGTAATGGCTCTCGCCTCTCTACACAGGCTTTAGAGTTTTTATTTTGCATTCTTCACTCGCTGACCCCTGCGATTAATCTTTAAGGCATAAGTGTATTACAATGGACAAAAACACTGTTAAATCTGTGTTACAGTAGAATGCTTTGACAGCAACGAAAACAATCTTAGGAGTTTTACTAAACAAAAACTTTGAGAACATGAAGAAGCAGCACCTACCAGGTAATTCACTATTAAGGCAATACTTCGTGTACAGTCTCAAATCAAGGTCATTCATTGTGACGTGACAGGTGTTTCCAGTCCTGGTCCTGAAGCCCCACACCCCTGCTGGATTTATTTCCAGACCAGTTCACTAACAGTTTGCCTGACTGGAATATTTGCAATGTTTTGCACTCCAAACTTAGGCATTTTATCTTCCTTTTAAATATAATAGTTAAAGGCAACCTCCAATCTGCTTTAAGAACCGAAAACAGTCCAACAGTTCACATGAGTTGTTTATGAAGTCAATTAAAGATTCAATTATGGAACTGAGAGCATATCTGGGAAGAAAACCAGCAGGTGTCAGGTCAGGACTGGGACCCCCACTCTACTGTGGAAAACCTGGTTCTTCCTCAGCCTGGAAGTGATGAACAGTAAGACGATTAATATACTTTAGGGGGAGCAACATTTGCCTTCAAACATCACAACACCAGAAAACAAAACTCAGTTTAATGAAGATTGTTTTTCATGAAAATAAGCAGATTTCAAACCAAAATCTAGTTTTTGAAGTGCTTCCACCTGTGTGTCTCATGTCATAATTGGGGAATAAATGGACATCCCTGTTTCACCACTTCCATATGTGTTTGCACTGAAGGATTTGAAAATGTTCATGGCAACAAGGGACATGATTAGAATATAAAGATTCTGAGGAATTTGACATGTGGGAGAGAATGCTGGCTCATTAATTTGTTCTTAGATCTCCTGTGGCTACAGTTCCAGATATATGGCTTAGATAGTGCTGCTGTCCTAAACAGTGAAAAGAATAGAGTGAGGTTTAGTGTTTTTGTTCTGTTTTCATGTTTGCCGCCCACTGTACATTCAATATTGATCAAAACAAAAAAATGTCCTGGACTTAACCAAGGCCTTTAAAACGGGACAGTTAATGGGGACTTTAACAGCATCAAGAATCTTAAGGAACACATGTGCAAATGTGTTTAAGAGTACACCATACTTTCTCATCTAACATCACTCCTTTCCAAGATTTCTACGATTCTTAGAATAAAGTGCAGCTGTAAACCAGTGCCTCCTTAAGCTACAGCATCTTTAAGGCCAAAGAAAAATGTGTAAAATTATATTCAGCTTAGCCCTCCACAACACTGTATTTGCTGTGAGCCCAATTGCCACCACTTGATATACTGTATATTAGTAAGGACACTGAACAACTGAGTTGAAGACCACTGCTCTCCTGAGTACAAACAGCTGAAGTCAATAATGCACAATACAATTATTAGTTACACTTGAGATCTTTCTCTGTGCTCACCTATTTTCAACAACATGCCATGAGTATTTAGAAACTTTTTATAGCAGGTGCAACTTGACATTTATCAAGTTATTAATAGAAAAACTACATGCTAAAAAACATAGCTAACTTCATTTATTCATTCTTCACCAATGTATACAGTTATTTTCCATCTTACATACTGTAAACACTCTCAGAGGTTAAAAACAGCTTTCTAGTGTTAAACAAATAATTTACAACCGTCTTTCCCTAAAATAAATAAGAGACCTGGCCAAATTAAAATTAAGAGTTATTAACATTTAAGATAGATTGGAGAGTAAATTTTTCATGAGCTGGTCAATCCTGGCTTGAACTTTGCCAAACTTTGCCAAAACAAGCAATTTGACTAAATTACGTTCCTACAACTCCAGACCCTTATCAATTCACCGTATTCTGAAAAGCCCCACTCAATATGTCCTCTAAGATGTACATAAGATTCCACAGACATTAATTAGAAACGTGATATCAATAGCAGAAGTAACTTTAACCTTTAAATGGTAGCACTATACTATACTGCACAATAAAGTATGTATACAGTATGATACTGGTACAGTATGTACAGGTAAAGTGTATTACAAAGGATTCCACAATAACACAGCAGAGGCCCCTACAAGGAGAGTGAATAATGATATGTGCTATTCTACTGTCATTCCTTTCATATTGGACTACTTTTGACATGGCTGCATTTCCACATTATTCAAACTACTGTTTATATAGCATCTACTTTTCTTTAGCTGGTTAAAGTATACTCCGTACTGCATACTGTACCTTATCCAATGTGCAGCAGGTGATAAACATGACTATTTTCCACCAAGAACACTTACTTAGTGGTCTAGGTTGGGCAAGAATTGTATTTGACATTTCAACATGATTTTGAAACCTTTTGGAGGTTAGCACATAAAACATGAAGTGAGCCAGAGAGATGTAGTTTTTTAGAGAATGAACCTGTCTAGTTTCTTTTTTTAACTAAATAAAAAGGGCACAATATATACAGTATGTATAAACATCCACATACTGCTCCCTTAACCGTAATGGGCTTGATTCAATATGAATAATAAACAGGCTGTAATGTGCAAACAGTCTACAATTCCTTAGCATTAGAATGGCTTTGGTTCTTTATCTAAATGGATATAATAGGGCAATCTAGAAATTTAAAATACAATTTAAAATCCTGTTCCTAGCAACGGTACCTCTACGAGTGCTAGTTTTCAGATTGTGAGATTTCTGTAGGGCAGGGGACACCACGTCAATCCCCTCTGTGTTTTCTGTGTTTCACCGTCTCTGACGAGACTCCTGAGACTCCATTCGAGTGTCCATTCATGGACACAGCAGAACCATTCTGGTGCTCTTTCCTCCGGGAAGCTCCTTTCTTATTGTAGGTCTAGGCAACAAAAGGGAAATACAGGTAGGTCAAAGACGAATGAGACTCTATCCAGTGTTTTGACAGTCTTTCCTCCTTGTAAAGGAACACGTGAAAGTTAATTTACTTTCAGGACACCTGAAGAAGGCTCTAGAGCTGAAACATTTCATTTCTCCTTTCTGTTTATCAGGGGGAATTAACCTTTAATCATCCATTTGCAGCCATTGTATGCTGATGCAGCTCCCCCCTCGAACATCCTTTCCTGTACAGTATTTATATTTTCCCATTGCCAGGTATTTCAGTTTTTGTTTTGGATATGGCCAGCCAAAATGAGATACGAGTCGTGTGTTCTTCAGCTGCGACCCCTGTGACAGCGTGCAGGGGGGCGGGGCAGCTGCAGCCAGACTCCTCCCACTGCCCCTCCCCATCTGACACGCCCCCAGGCAGCGCAGCCCGGGGCAGGAGGTCTGGTGCCTAACCAGCAGGACCGACAGCACCCTGAGTCTGCAAGTGCCTGGGAGGCCACAGGGAGCGCTCATTCAAGTCCCAGTTGCAGCTGGGTAATAACACGACCCAGGCCTCGAACCTGCATTTGGGTGAGAGCCTTTACCAGCTGATCCACTCAGGAGGCCCTGTTCGATGTCATTGCCAATAGAAATGTATTGATTTTACTGTTTTCTATTGCTTTCAGTGCCCATTTAGAGACTTGAACAAGTCTTCACACTGTATGTGTGAAATGAAAGCTGAAATGAAAGAACTCTTTCCATTCTCTGCTAAAGCCAACTGAGCTCTCACCCTCACTCCCTTTTCTCTTTGTTTGAGAAAGTGCACAATGGTTTTCTTTCAGATTCTGCATTCACCCAAACAGAAGTAACTGTTACTCTATTCTACGTCCACTCATTTAAATTCACTACAAACAGAACTGCCAGCCTACTGCCATGCAAACAGAAAAACCAGTACCCAAAGTTTAAGTGTGATCGAGGTAACGCTGGCATTAGAAAGTAATCCACAAGACAACAACTACTGAAAAATTCAGAAGATGTTCTTACCTGTATGTAGAAGTTGGAGAAAAGAACGATCAGTGTAATCATGTAACATATCTGGAAATACAGCCATCCCATGGGGAACCCACATGGCCAAATGACAGCGCACACAGTTTGGAACATAGTTAACACAAACTGAATCTGAAAAAAGGAGATGGAAAAACACAAAGAAATGCATGTTTTTAAACAATGAGTTAAATGAGCTAACGCTTAAGAGTAAGGTACTGGGGTGGTGGTTTACTGTAGCAGTAAGAGCATGCATAAATGACCGGTTCAGGAAGAACAGTGAAGAACAAGCCAGAGCCCGCAATCTGGAAGCACATTTAAAATCCAGAACAGGAGGCGTCCTTCAAGAAGCAGCTGGGTGAGAACCTGGGATCAATTAGCTCCTAACAACCAAACTGGCTCGATGCGTTGAATGGTCTCCTCTCATTTGTAACTCTTGTTAGGTTCTTTAATCAAGCAACTGCTTCTGTTTTATCTTAATGTCGACAGTAAATGCTCCTTTGAAACTTGTCTTTCCAAACAGAATGCACTCAGGCAGGCGTGTTCGAGGTGCCATTTTCAACACTTCGTGAAACCCTTCTCCCCCCAGGTGAGAGCTGACATGAGGTTTGTTAGGTTTACTAGGATGAAGACCACAAGTATAAAAGGCAATCAAATGCTAAGCCCTGCATTCATATACTAAAGTAACAAAGACCAGACCTATAGTAAATACTAGGTTATGCAGTACTTGGGCAACATCCTTAATGTTAATGCTATGAAGAAGCTACTGTATATGAGTAAGGTAAACATTCTGTCAATTCAGTTTAGAGAACACTGTTAAATGGTCCACCTCTTGCTTTTCTTTGCACAGTCCTATCGCAGTGATTCAATTTCAGCTCCCTTAGCATCTCCTTTCCTTCAGGCTGCTGCCTACATTTTCTTTAACAGAACCAGTGTTGACAGACTGTCACGGAAAACACGACAGAATTGAATAAAACAGAACTGTTGCCAACATAATCACATTTGACCTTCATTAAATAAAATACCATGAATTTTCCATGTTGAGAATTTTCAACATTTTCCGATATAATATATACAGTATATATACTCAATCAATGTACCGTTCTTTCTTGTGTTCCTGCTTTATCTGCAAATGGCAGCCTGTTTCCTTGACCTTTTAATATCAACCTTTATTTTTTAATCATTTCCAATTAACACTGAAAAGCGATACTTGTTTAAACTGTAGAGGACAGCCAGCCTGCAAGCCCATGTTTCTGCTGGAGAAACATTAACCTTTTTGCTGGTGGATTCAGAATTTTCTTTATACATGTTGTTCTGTTTGAGTGCAGGAAATCATCCGTCTGCAGTGTGTTCATATTTGGGTGAGCAGCAGTGTGACCGTAGGCATTGAAACTCACCAGCTGGCCCTGAGTAATGTACTTCTTCCACCACAGATAGGGGCGCATTGCTGGGATGGCGGAAAGCCCATAGTAGGAGTACATTAAGACGTGAATGAAGCTGTTGAGAGTTGCTCCAAAATATGCTAAATGAAAGAACAAGGAAAAGCAAGGCAACAATGAATGGTACTTATTCAACCTTACCAAGCTTGAATGTGAACAAAAGGAACATTTCTCAAAAATACCTCTGTCACCTGTACTCAATTAACAGGTAACCTTCTAAAGCAAGTATTAATAAAAGTTTTAAAATGAGCAATACTTCTGCCCTGCGTGGATCATTTACAAGACTGAAAGGTCAAGTGGTACGTTTTGACTTACAATGTCCGCAAGGCACCCAGTTCATGACAAACCACCAGATGTTCAGCATGCTGGCGTGATGGTAGACGTGCAGAACTGTAATCTGGTGGTTGTTCTTGCGTAAAATGAAGAAAAATGTGTCCATGAACTCAATAAGTTTGGAGAAGTAGTACCACCACAGGACGTGTACAATCTAGAAACAAAATGATGAAAAAACCATAAACAGACAAACAGTGGCTTCAGATTAAGAGCCTGTAAAACAAGAGCCCATGTGCTGCACCCCACTAAACTATGTCTCCCAGGACAGGAAACATCTGGAGTCTCCCATCTGGCCCTGGTTCAGGAGTCACAACTCTTCTCTCACTCATCAGCTAGAGCAAAGAGAGCAGAGAGACCATTCTGATTTTGGAAATGATTATTAATCAAGAAAATAACATACTTTGGTGTCCAAATAATCAACTATAATCTTCAACTTGCAAATATGCACACAGGGATACACCAAACAATGCATACATATAAATACGTAATAAACAGAAAAAAAGGTAACAAGGCCTCAGTTAATCAAAAACAAACGATTTTAGGGGGAATGAATAAATATAGCACTATAGCACCAAGTTCTTGGCTGTGAGCCCAAGTGTGTGTCCATTGTCATGCCAAGCAATATTTACATTCACATTTTTTCATTTGGGAGACACTTTTATCCAAAGCGACTCACAACTGACACAAATACAGTATCAGATTAAAGATGGCTAGTCTGGAAAAGTCATATACTGAATAGTGCAACCGATTCAGTCAATCTGAAATCAATGGCCATCCAAATCAATTCAGTCAATCGAGCCAGGAGCACGTTGTTTTTATCCAGTAAATTAACAAAGTCTGGATTCATAAGGCTGACAGCTAAAACAATCTTGCAGAAGACTGTTGGACTGCTGTGCTAGCTAATGTAAAGTATTGTCTAAGTTGTCTGCATGTAAACTTCCAAAGGGATCTCTGCATTTGAAGTACTTGTGCATGCAGTTTGCAGTTGGTTATGATGACAATAATTACATATTAATATAAGCAGGTCACTCCTGGGTGGCTCAGCTGGTAAAGATGCTCTTCTGAGCAAAGCCTGAGCTCTAAGATCACAGATTCGAACCCGTGTCCAGTGAATGTAGATGGGATTCCCCAGGCAGCTGTGCCCTACATACTTCCTTTGTAGTCCCAGATGGGAAATTTGCTTTGTAGGCAGATAAAAGAAACAATACAGAATCCATTAAACACAACATGTACCCAAATAAGAAAGGCCTGGCATAAGATGAGAAAACAAGTTAGTAGCTTGAGTAAACGCCACAAGTTAGAAAAAAATAAATAATGAAATAAGGTCATCAGAGCACGAGATAAATACATAATATACAGTACATGCACAATGAGTAAATAAGGTCAAATATACAATCACTTGTCAAACGTAAGCAGGTTAACAGCCATGGGAATACAGGGTAACTTAGTTATAGTGCACTTAACGTAGGTAGTCTAACCCAACGCCCAGATGGAAGGAGCTCAGTTTCACTGTGTGAGGGGGGTCGTGACAGTCAGTGACTATACTGACCTTCTGCACTATTTGTTTGATGTACAGTAGATGTCTGCCAGATGTAGCTGTTGTGCACCTGTCATTCTGCTGGCTATCTTCGCTGTCCTGCTCAGTCTGTTTTTATTGTATATATTCAGGTTATTAAACCAGGCTACCACAGTGAATATTAGAAAAGATTCAATAAAAGTTTTGGCAACTGTCTGAAATGTGCTTAGCAAGGCCTCAGTAATGTTACTATGCTGAAATGCAATTTCCCTTGTGAAAGATGAGTTTCTGAAAATAAGCAAACACAGTGACCTTAACAATCTATCACATTTCAAAACACCTGGAGAACAACGTAATTGTTACTACAAATCAGAATTATTCTGCTGAGGCAATGTAAACTGACAGCTAGTACAATAAAATTCAAGTCACAGGTGCTGCAATTCTCAGTGTTCTGCAAGGTGAGGGTCTGGTGCCCTTTCTCGCTGTGCATCATAAAACCAGCACAAAGGGATGACGACTCTGGCCAGACCAGAAAGCTTTGGCAGGTCTGAAAACGTGAGGGGTGATAAATGCCGGCCACAAAGTGGCAAGTATTTCTGGTCGATATAGTGGTGCTCTATTGTTGAAAAATACCCAAGTGAACTACGATACAACACTGCAAAAAACAATCTCAAAAAGCAAGAAATCCTTGAAAAGTGCTGTAAGAAAAAACTTGTGTGGTTATTCAACCGCATGTTGTCCAGATCTCTGTGGTATTTCATTTTATTTTGATCTATTCACCCTTTTCCTACAAGCATTTCTGAAAAGGCGACCCTCACTGTTCGTACCCCTAAATCCGTCTTCTAGGAAACAGTTATCTGTTTTGTTAAGAGTGGCTTTTGGGGGTGGGAGCTTAGGTCAAGAAACTTTTTCTGGCAGGCAGACTAAAACCCATTTTTCATGATATTATCTTGAAAAATGTACTGCAAGCACTCTGGGAGCAAAAACACAGCACATTTAAATACAACGGTTTCTTTCAGAGGATTAACAGATATTTTAATAAGCATCTCATTTAGTCTGTTTGTTGCCATTCAGGAATGAGGTGATAGGCCTGCACTCTAAGGACGCCACTGATTTTTGACTTACCTTTGAGTCAGCCTCCCCGGCACTGTGTGTGTCCTGGCAGAAGAAATTGTACCCTCCTTGCCACACTCCCATGACAAGCTGCACAAACAAAAGGTCACAGCATTTTAGAATCTTCACCACCAAAAGCAGACCCAGCCGATACTCATGAAGCAAAGCTGTTTCCTTTCCTAATGTCTCCCTGCAAGGCTGAACCCACTAGCTATGTTTACTGCAGAGATGAAGATCTCATCCATCTTGGAATAAGCAGGGTACTGGCTTCAACAGCATGGCTGGGTAACGTGTTCCACAATCCCACCACCCTGCTTGTAAAGACCAGATAGAAATGCAAATAAGGTTAAAAGTCATAAGAATATTATTGTTAAGGAATCATGGCATCAGCAACACAATATAATTAATATCTCCTGACTCTTCTGCATTGAGAACAGGCACATTTACTGTACATCACTAAACTGAAGCCATGTGTTCAGGTTAGTGGTCAGTATGCTAATATACTAAGGATGCCCATGTCTTTGCAATTTCATGTTAATTCTGTACAACAGCCCTTGAAGCTGATGTAGGGCCACAAATGCACCCCCCACAGATACACACAAACATATTTAAACTGTCATTAAAGTAATTAGGTTTAGTTGAGAGTTCTCTCAAATACCTGAAGAGAGAAGTTTTAGTACATGTCTTTGTGTATGTCTTCTATTTAAATCTTTTTTGCTTGGTTTTTCTGAAATAACTTTTTCCAGGCAAATGCATTACTCCAACACTGAATTAGAGGAACGACGTGGTGAAGTTTATTAGTGAAATACCAGTCTTAAAGTTCTATGGTGTTTTTCTAAGCAATGATTGCTTTCACTAAACAACTGCTGCCTTAAGACAACTTAAGTGTTCCTTCAAAATTCTGCTGTTGATAAATTATATTACAATTTATTAGCAGTTTTAAAAAAAGTAAGTTTTCAGACTTTTCCACCTGCCTTCAGCAATTCATACTAAAAGGGACAAGGTCCTTAAATCATAATTAAACACATTATGTGCATAACAGAAAACAGACTGCTGACGCTAGTAGTAAACTAGCCAGTAAAACTAGCCCACTGTGTTTCAGAACTTTGCACAGCAGTAAACAGCTTCCCTTGTGCCCTTCCTGACAGTCAAGGCAGCTTCCCATAGAACAAGAGAAAAACATTCCTCAAGGATGAACATGAGAATCACGTAATAGGGCAACGCAAACTAAATAAACAATTTACAGCTTCTAGGTCCCCACATACCAGTCCATACACATATCAGTGGGCTCCAAGAAGACTTCATGACTCTGGCATGTGAGATAAAAAATGCAATTGTCATCCGCAGGGCCAGACGTTTAACAATGCAGTCTAACAGCTGAACTTAAAGAAATCTCTCAGAGTAAAGGACACTTGCATCCATCGTTAGTGAATAATATAAAGTACTTCAGTGCTTGTCAACTCTTGTATTTTCTCTCCTTCCTTTAGTTTAAAACGGGCGTCTTCTCTTGCATCTATTCCAGGCTGTGGGCGGGTGTATCATTTCTACTGCCTGTGAGTCATTCTTAACTGTTACTCACCACTTCCTCTCCTTTGGGGACAGCCCTGGACGGACATAAACGCTGTCAGGCCAATTGTGCAAATAACAGACAAAGTGAAGAGACCAAGGCTTTGTATTACAGCAATCTGTTGCCATAACAGTGAATAAAAAATGTTTGCTGCCTCGTATGTTGCATTTATACCAACCCTGTGCGTATGTTCGAATTCTGGAGACAGACTCTGGGTAAAACAACCAGCTCCAATGGACTCAAATATTTCCTTCACAAAATCCTTTAAAGACCATCAGCACTACAGTCCTTATCAAAAAGCACGTAAACGATTTTTATTTTCCTTTCCGCTGAGTGAAACACAATGAGGGCAGCTATCATGATACTAACTTTCATGGCAAGATTTTAACATCAAAAAGACAAAAGTAGAGATAATGCCGTAAATAACAAGTCTGATTCTGCAGGATAGAACAAGAAACACCTCAGGCTCCAACCCCAGCAGATCAGATTTGTCTGCTGATCTCCTTTATTAATACAGATGTGTACAGTTCAGATTCTGTAACAAGACTATTCTAAGGTCAGACAGTGTTTCATATTGTCTTTCCAAATTAGTGTAGTTGTAAAAGCATTAATTTTAACCATTAATAAGCAGACTTAAAAAGAATTCTAACCGATATAATATGACCCCTCTAGTTTTTAAATTCTTAAAAAGCTTTACATTTTTATGGCACTGCCTTTTATCCCAAGTGTCTTAAAATTAATCACATTTAGGTGTTTTTATGGATATATCTTTCTTTATCTACTTCAAAATATGGATGCATAGGGTAATAAATATTTTACTTTGCAGTAGCAGAGTGTTTAGTCGTTTAGTCGAGTCCGACTCTTCATGACCTCATGGACTTCAGCATGCCAGGCCTGTCTGTCAACAACTGCGCCTCTGAGCTCTTGCAAATTCATATTCATTTCTTCAGTAATACTGTCTATCCAGCTTAAATAGTAGTAGTAGTAGTAGCAATAGTAAAATACTACACCAGAATCATGTGGCTCCTCGCTGAAAGACAGGATAAGATCTGGTGTCTGTGACCCAACTTAGAGTTAATATCAGAGCAAAACTAATCAAGCAGTGAGTGTCCTTTCCAAAGTCGAGGTCAGCTTATTTCTACTTCCTCAAGCATCTCCTCTTTTATACCAAGTGCGATTTCCATAGCAACCATCAACTTGTGGCTCCTCTTTGTTCACTGTTGTACAGCTGTGTCTCTCAAACTCCCAAATGTTGTTGCTCAAAGGAGCTCTTGTTCAAATGTTGCTTTAATTGAAGGTTTCAAACAGTTATGTTTTTAAATCCATCTATGTCAAAAATAAATTACCCAACTATTACTCAGAAAGCCATATATGGTGAAAGAGCCCAGCCTAGTGTATTAAGTTTTATGACAAAATAATACTCTCTGCACATTTTGTCTTTTGAAACTTGTGTTAACAAGAACCAACTGGTCATCAATTAATTGTTTTGTTTTGTTTTTTTGGAGGCAGTGGTCTGGTCTTTGCATGCAGTTTTGACTAATGTTCTCCTAGTTAAGCAATAAATTCTCAATACTCAATTGCTAACTTCAGAGGTAGGAGAGCATGTTTTGTAACAGTATGCTCTTCCCCAGCAGTCTGTGGGGGCTTGTTGTTTATGCTGCCATTAGGTCAGATTCATCACAGGTGTGGAGTCAGCTTTCACATCTGTGCTGATTACACTGAGACTTACAGCATGTTCATGCAAAACAGCCTGATGAAACAGGAACAAAAGAACAAAATGATCACTTAATATAAAGATTACACTATAATTCTTTTTAGTGTTTTAAAGGAATACATGTTGTCCAATCCATTATATGATAATTTCTGTTCCTATTTCATGAGACGTATGAATTAATCTACAGGGTACCACAGGTGATGTTAAAAAAACGGATTCAACAAAACCTTTTACATCTGAACTCTGACGAAACCTAGACATTATGCCTTTTCCCTCTCCTTATGATCTTGGCAAACGTGTCAACCTTAGTTTTGACCACTAAGTGCCCTATAATCGCTCCAAGTAGTCTTGTTGGGAATCTTGTTGGGTGCTGCCTTTAAACATGTTCTGAAAGTGTCTTTTTTGTTAGAAAATTAATATTTTACCACAAGAGTGCTGGTAGCCAATCATATATCCCAGTGTGTTATTTGTTGTCATGCAGCGTTTACTGGTGTTTCCAAATATGATCTAAACAAGCTGCTGTATGCTTAATGCTTAGCTGCTCGGATCTTTACAATGTGATAGCACCTACAGTATTTTCACTTCTTTGCACTGACCCCCTGTGGATATCAAATTCAAATCACTGCTTCTCCCCTTTAAGAGCTTGAGCAGTTAGGCTCCTGGCTACAGTGAACTGTTAACTACAGTTATCCATTATTTGTGCTCTCTGGACTTCTTTCAGTTCCCAAAATTAAGTTCCAAACAGTGTGAGACAGTGATTTGCATTCTGTTGCTCAAATGCTGGGGAATTATCTCCCTACTCATATCAGATCTTTTAAATTCAGGCCTACCTTCACTTTTACTCTAACGCATCCATATAAAAAAGATTGTTAAATATATCTGAAAAAGAATTTGCCTCTTAACACATTGGTTCAAGTTTTTCATCAAAAACAGTTAAACCAGAACGAGAACTGTTTCCCAGAGCTGTTACATTTTTTGAAAGCAGACAGAGAGTGCCGAACTTGAGTGTGATATGCAAAACATGCAAAGGGCCACTTATTCTGTTGATTTCATATCCTGTAGGGAATTTCCATTCAATTCATACTGCAACTGTTGCACTGCAGTTCATCAAAGACAGCAGTATATAGGCCACCGAGTCACAAAGGGGCTGGAGCTTTCTATTTCGGTAATGAGGAGAGTTTATGCTAGTAACACACAAGACTTGAGAAAAGTTTCTTTTGACTGGTCCACTGATTTCAGCCACTTTCCCAGCAACACAACTTAGATCACCTTCACAGCTCATGTAGGGTTTTTGTGAGACCTGTCCCCAGCAGTACATCATTAATACACATTAAAAGACCCTAACTCCATTTACAGCCAGTATACAGCCATACTTTTGATACAGTATGTAAGTACTCAAGGTTAAGGTATTGACTACAGTAATTAGTACTTTAACCTACTTGTTTATTTCACCTTTGCACAAATACCTTATTTTCATGAATACATCTGTCTGCTCATAGAATAATCTCTTATGACAAAGCAGTATTTTGTAAGCAATAAATGACAACGATCTTTATCTGTTCATAGCAGAATGTTAGAAAACTATATTATTATAATTTGTAGAAGACTTTGTAAATTCAGAGTGCCTCTAATGCATGATGTAATACTTTTACAACAGACCACATTGAAGGCTGATTGCAACAACACTGAATTGATTGTAAGGACTGGAGACTGAATGTGAAATCCCTAAACTTAACACATCTTGTAAAATCTAATGCATCTATTAGCTAAAAATCTGAATCTGACAGAGTGACTGCTGACATCAGTATTGGCTGCCAGAGACAGTATATCACAGTTTGAGGTTATAATTCAGTTTTAAACCTTGACAGACGTCAGGAATTTCGAAATCATCTGCTGCACGGAAAACTACTAAAATCTATTACAGAGACCACTCTACACTGGATTTGTAAAATACTCACTGTGATCAATAGTGAAAATGTAAAGCTCAATGGCAAGGAAATGTGCAAGCTGATGAATGCCCTCCTCATTCATTTGTCATCATTGCCAAAAAGCATTACATAATCTCCGGTAATTCCCCTTGCTAAGTAATGCTGCCTAAAATCCTTTGTCTCGTATTCTACAAAGAACAGGCCGTCTACTACTGTGCAGAATTTTAAAAACATGCTCTTGTGTTACTGTGTACAAACTGTACAAATTGTAACCTGTTACTAACACAACACACTAACACTAATATTGTACACTAGTTAAATTAGTGACCCAGTGTCCTTCCATATAAATTTGAAAGAATCATGTCTTGGCGCTTAATTAACAAAATAACCCCTTTTGTACTTGTAACCCTGATACAGATGTATTCTGTTCAGTCCACTGGGAGAATCTTACTTTGGTCTTATGATCTTACATCAGACCACCAAACTGAAGGCCAGCCAACAATACAATAGTAGAACTATGCAAGAAGATGCAGGGGTTTACTTGTTTGGACTTTCCAAAGGAGCACTTTCCCAGCTGCAGGCAGAGAAACTGAGCCTTGCCACACTGCAGGACAAGACTGTAAAGACCTACTCCTATATTGTGCTCATGCAAAACCCCCATTTAACAAAGACAGTGATGTAGTACAGGTAACAATAGCTTTTGCATGAATATTGTATAAACATGGTCAAATCTAAACAGGGAAAAACTGCTTGGAGGAGTGAGCTACCCCTCAATGCATGAGCTTCTTGTTTGTACTTCAGATTCAAAGAAACAAATGGCTATTAATGTGCATTTATGAAACATGTAACTAGATTGTTCTCCTAATTCCCAGGACTCAGTGATAAGTTTGTGCAGTGTTCTACTTTCTCCATCCTCACTGACTGAGCTGAAGAGTCAGATTCTCCATGACAACGACACGAACGCTTCCCGGAAACTCGCAGAGGGAGAGAGGTGGCCAGATACTGTGGCCCAGCACTGCCTGCTGAATAAATCATAAACTACCGGGAGAACACAGAAAGTCTCCTTGGGATTCCAAAACAATGACTAAAAAGGACAATCTCCAGAGGACATCTGCAACACAGCATACTTCTCTGGGAAGATAAATCCTTAAATCAGCTTAAGGTGACCTTCTGCTACAAAATCGCACTGCTCTTTTCCCTGTTTGATAACAGCAATGTCAGAAACAGTGCATTCCTTTGAATACACAGCAGTCATCTTATCTGGTTACAAGACAAAAAAAACAATTAAAAAAGATGTTCTAGCTGTTATTTCATTATTTTGCAATTCAGATTAATTTAATTCTATTATATTTAATCAAATTAAACCACCAGAAATACAGGTCAACACGTCATTATATGTTTTTGATATAAAAAGTGACATACATACTGTCACAATGCAAAACATTGATTTCATCATCATCATTTTCTACCCACTCGCTCCTGGTGAGGGTGGTAACAGGCTGAGCAGAGTAGACCAGACTCCCACGTCAGCAGGGAGGATCTAGACCGACATTCATTTTTAAAATGAGGCAAAGTTAGTATCATGATGGCCTCCCAGAGCATCAGCGCGGTCCAGGCTCAGACCTGATCTGCCTCTGTGTAGACTGCTGTGGGATGTCCTGCTACTCTTCCTGGGCGGCTACAGCCAGCTGGCGAAGTCTCCTCTTGCATTGGCCCCGCCGGAGTGCTACTGGAGCCAGGCCAGGCAAAAAGGCCAGCCACAGAAACGTCTGCACAGGTCAGGCCATTGCAGTCCCTGCACTCTGTGGACCTGCGCTGTCCTGCTGGGAAATCAGTGCTTGTGGATTGGTGCTTGTGCAAAAACTGCGGCGAAGCATCTCAGAGCAATGAGCTTGCCATTATTTCCCACCACATCCCTCTCACATACTGGTTTGGTTACGCCAAACGCAACCAGGCAATCTTCTGTGTTGAACTGGGCTGTATCATTTTGCTGTTCTTTTGTTAAATGAAATCATGTCTTTTTGAATGTCTGCTTTATGCAAAGCTATTCAGACTACAGGATAACATTGTTAAAGCAAGACACATTGTCCAATCTTTTGTCCATTTTTTGTTCCTATTTCATCAGAGATATGAATACATTTCTTTATTAGTACTGCTGAGAACCCGAAGAGCAGATTTTCATTAATTACATGCAACACATTTCACCCTTATATGTGACAAATATCATTTTTGTATTAATAAATTTAATAGGAAGGTTAATAAATTTCCACACTTTATGAGAATTGTTCTTTTATGCAGAAAAGAAAAAAATGTACTTGTGGTGGGTTCAATCTTAGAAGCTTTTCAGACCCACAGTTTTCAGCAGCACAAAGATTCAATTATTTGTGAGGTCTGGCATCTAATGCTGCCTGTCACTGCTGAAACAAAGCCTTTAATCTTCAGACTCATTTTCCTCTCTTGAGCAGATTTGTGTGACAGTCAGCCCTTCTCCTGTTGTAGTGAACTACCTAGACTTTTCTTCCATAAGGTCCGACAGACAGTTAAAGCAACGAAAACAGCAGAGTAGGGATATGGGAGAAAAGCACTGCAATGTCAAATCCACCAAGCTGTTAAAAAAGCAAAACCACAATGTTTTACAAATATCTGACTAATTTTCCTCTTGTGTTCTGAGCAGGCCTCTAATCAGAATATGAGTTACCAGTAGCCCAATAGCTGACCAATAGCAAAAACCAAGCACAAAGTTTAGGACTGGCAGGGATTTTCCCCAACTACCTATGCTTAACAATCACATAATGTTTTCAGCTTACCTCATAGAACATGTAAAAAGACAGCAGCGTCAGACCCAGGTTATAGATGACAAGAATACCCCTGCAAGAAAAGGGTTGTCTGTTGTTCATGTATTTCGGTCCTATCCAAACAATGACGAGGTACATGAGTGTAAGCAGAAAGGTAGGGGGATAGTTATCAAGAAGAAACCACCCTCTAACCCTGGGATCTGAAAGACAGAAAACAAAAAAGGCCGTTAGTGTTTGTTAAGCAGCAGGCAATATCTCGTATCACCCACAGGCAGTGTAAACCAAACCAGGTGACACCAAAGACAGACAGAAAGCGGAAATTAAATTAAACACAGGTGATGGGTCGCAGACATTAAATAGAGGTGATGGGTCACTGACACAGGCAGAATCAGAGCTGGCGCTGTTAGAGACACATACATCAAGACACAGAGCCCAGACATGGCAAAGGATAATGGGACACTGACGTGTTAATGAGTGTAGCCTGTCAAAACCATATTTTAGGAATTTCTAAGGAAAGGAAAATCCGCTAACAAAATATTACAAATCATTAAGCATTATTCATTAACGTGCAGAAATCAAGCATTTATCATTTTTATTAAATGTTTGGATCTCCGGAAACGTATTTTTTCTCTGTTCTGTGTCCTGCGCACATTTATATGGGGTGGAGTGTTTTTAATACCCTGCTCTTGTGCCACAGTAAAACACAACAGTTGTATAATTGCATAATAAGGCACCATTGAGTTTGAAACATTTTCAACATTTCGAGTGACTCAAAAAATCAAATTTTATCTCTTTTTAATCTTGAATAACCATATGCCTGAAGTGATGTAGCTAAGCAACAATTACTAATGGGCGCAACATGAGTTCACGCCACAGTTAAACATATTTCTGAGAATAACAAGCCAAAACAATGTGAACATGAAGAGTTTACACAGGCCAAACTACTTACTAATAGTTATCTGTCTTTTTTTGGTTTCTACATTGTACTGCTGTGTGATTCCTTGTTTGGGCTTTCTGATCTAGTGTGGGTACTTATCAACACTCTTGAGCTATATTTTTCTATTTGCAGTCACAGGCACTAGGAAAAGGCTTTTATCTCCATGAACTTGTACTTGAATAGAGTATGTAAATTCTGCCATTCCACATACAATGACACTTGTTAGTATTTTTATAAAGTGTTTTTCTTTAATCTCTGTGTAGACAATACAGGTTAAATACAGGCCTTTTTTTTCAAGCTAAATTCGTAGAAGAAGGCTCTGTTACTTTTAACAAGCAAAAACATATAACGGTCTTATAATAGCACTCTGACATACTAATGTAAAAAGGTCCTTAACAAATTCAGCTTATGACAACACTTGTGAACACACTAGGGATGGTGTTGGAAGACTGAACAGTGCTGAAAATTGTTCATGATGGATAAAGTAAGGCATACTAATAATATAGAGGTATTATTTATTTTAAATTACTGACAAGTACAAATCTTTTAAAGGCTTTTTAGGCTTGTTATTTTTATTTGTGTGAACTATTCCATGTTTATAATTGTGTATGTATAAGAATATGTATGTATAAGAAAATCAATATTCAGTATAGGACAGGTGAACAACACAGGCAAATAACCTGAACATCATTTGTAATGCTATCAATTGGTCAGATGTTTAAAGATACTGCAGATACTAGCAGTGATTCTGCCAGAACACTGTATGCTACCTTCTAATACAATAAAATGTAATTATTACAAGATGGGATAAAGATACCTTTGAGAGAATACACAGCCTGGGTTATTATTTTCAACAGATTACTTGGTAGAGAACACAGTGCAGTTTTTCACCCTTTTAGACTGTTCAACTGAGAATATTAAAGACAATTTAAGCCTTTTTAATATAACACATGACAATGAAAACATAAAACATTCAATCTGTGTGCACGTCCATGATCCTAAACTTTCATTTTCTTCTCTCCCCATATTGCACACCTTTGTGGTGATTCTTGTTTACCTTTTTTGGGGGTTAAAACAGGTCTACTTCTGTTTTCTTACAATCTGCTCAGTACACCTCACTGAAGGAATCCTTAACCATTCAGTCTATTATTCAGATACTCTGTTCACAGAGCTCAATTCTGATAACCACAAAGGACTACGGTGGAGCAGACTGACAAGACTGTATCCTGAGTTGACTTGTCAGCACCATCTTTAATGATTAATTACATCAACACATACACTACATGTCTTTGTTTATTAATAGCACTTAAATTACAGTATTTTGTGTATGTCCTATCAATGCAGCGCTTTTTTTCAATGAAGCACGATTTCGGCAGACATGGAAAAGGAGCTTGCAATCCTGTGTTTTTTTCACTGCAGCTATTACAGGCCTGACTGAAAGAGCCAGAAAGAGCTCATATAAGAAAGGAGCTCCACAGGACCCTGGTTTGAGTCTCAGTGCATTCCGGTTCCTTTGTAGTATATGTAAATCTGATAAGTACCTACATTTCCTCATTTCAATATCTGTAACTGGTTTTAATATTCACCCTACAGTATAAGCGTACGAAGTACATTATAAGTATAAATAACACTGTCATCAGCTGAGCTTATTTGAAAACAAAACAATCTCATGACCTTCCACCTCTCTACCAATATTATATTCTGTCTATTATTAAAATGCAACTAGTATGAACCATGAGCACTCTTACAAAATGTAGAATAAACAGTGTCTGTTCATCAGTGTGTAAATCAGATCTGCAAATTTTCGAGAGCAGGACTGATGTTTCTCGCCTGACAAGAGCTGTTCATATGCTGAGCTGAAAAGCATGTGGCATGATCCGGGCAACAAGCCCTTATTAATAAAGCGCTTATTAATAAAGCGTGTGGACTGCAAGCACAGAGGCAAATTGAGATTAAACACCTAGGTTCAAAACTTACCTCTTGGTCCCATCCAGGAATCTATATAGACACTGGTGGCATGATTAATGGCCTCCATTTTCGACCTACATGAAAGAAGAAGAAAAACAGCCTTTGTTACAGAAAACACACCAGTAGCAGACAAATCACTTTACGTGCAGTATTTCTTTCTTCAAGCATTTGGACAGATGCTGCATTAAAGGCTTATACACTGAGCATCAAAAGAAACTCGTCACTCTATGTTTGTAGGAAAATAAAGTATATTTTAGATAAGGATTAATCCAGTGTCATATGGATTAACTGATCATTCATGACTGACAAGTCAAGGAGATACACCCCAATGAATCTAGGGCACAAGGACCAGTGAACGGACACACACTTGTCCAGGTTGTATGAGAGAAAAAGGATCAATTCCCACAATACAGCATCTGCAGCCTGCTCCAAAAACAGCTTGTACTGCTTCAACTGCTTCCAAAAGTGGCTACTAATGTCCACAGTGGACCTTCTTGATGACAAATGTTAATTTACCATAATGAATTAAACCGTGTGGTGGCTGTTCAATAAATTCTCAGAGTGCCTGTTATGAAACCAGTTGTAATTTTCCCAATAGATTTGATGCTTGGTACGCAGTTGCTTGTGAGTCTCTCAAACTTTCCGTTCTACAAACTAGGTCCCTAGAAATACGAAATAAACATCTTTCAGACTCATTTACGGTACTGCAGGAAAATGACTGTGCCGGGTGGGGGCAGTTCAGCAAGCTGCAGCCTGTACTTCAATTTTCATATAATCAAAGCAGAGCGCATATGATGCAGTGTAATGCTTGTAACCCTATTTCAGAAAAGGGAGACTGCTTGTTGGTAATGCAAATGAGAAACAGTCCAGATGTTCTCTGATGCCAATTCAATGTGCATCGCGTTCACAAAACACTGTTAGGGACAGGAGAGTCAGGCCAAGAAAACAACAATTTAGCCCAGCTAGTGCCTCCCTCTTGAGTATCTTGCATGGCAATGATCATTATAACACCTTTTTAGCAGTGCTGTTGGACTTTGTTTAATGGGCATCAGCCGCCCTATTAGATGTTTGGGTAAAGATATAATTTGATATAATGTTTGATATAATTCGTCTAACATAATAGGAACCCCCAGAAGAGGAAGCACCATGTTTTCCTTTTTTATCTGCAAAACCCCTACAGGGCTGGATGTTCAAGTACATACAGTTTTTTTTAATTAACAAGAAGAGTTTATGATCAAATTATTATAAAATAGAAGTTTAAAATATAGCTGTGGTAGTGTTGAATCTTCTGAATACTGTTTAACTGGGGGAGGTAAATAATCAAACTCCATATCTTATTTTTCTACCCATTTTAGACACAGAAATGAGTCTTTAATGGGGGGACCAGCTCTCTTGCAGGATATTTCCCCAAGTTCTGAATAAATAATTTTGTTAAGGATTCCTTTTAATGGCAGAGGCTGGTGATGATCTGACTGCTTCAGTGTGCTTGATCGGACAGGCCTGTGCAAATCAAAGTGATGTAACCCAACAGAAAACAAGCACCCTCTTTACAACACAGACGATTTCATTTACGTTCATTTTAAGCCGTAATGAGCATTCTTTCACTTTAGTGGGAGACTAAAGTTCATCTTGTCTTAAAGTATTTCAAAATTATGGGATTTACTTCTAATCCCAGGCCTGGCAAGCACATACAGTACATGATGATATTTCTTCATCAGAAAATAATACAGTATGTGTATTTTGTGCAAGGTACAAATGTTCTGATAATTTTCTTTTCATTTTCAATCCTCTTGTCCTGGTGGGAGTCCTGACAACAGTGCGTCCAGCAGAAAGGATGAGGCATCTTCTTCCTCTGCAACTTTTCAGCTCCCCCTCAGGGATTCCCAAACGTTTCGTGCCAGGCAAAAGGTACAGTCCTTCCAGCTTGTCCTAGGTTGACCTCAAAGTCTCTTCCCGGTGGTACATGTCTGAAGGGAGGTATCGTTTCCCGAGACGCCTTGTCTGAACCCTCTTGATCCACAGAAACAGCGGCTCTCCCTGCAGCCGTGGCTCTCACCCTGTCACAGAAATCCAGACCACGCGCCCTGTGAGGAAGGCTCATTTAAGAGCTCGAACCAGCAATCTCCTCCGTTCAGTTATTACAGAGAGTTCGCGACTGCAGGCGAGGATGAGGACGAAAAACAAACCAAAGTCTCGACACCCACTTTACCACTATAACTCAGTTCCCTTACTGCAGTCAAATCAGGCAGGACTTCTCTTCTGCAAAAATGTTGGAACTTGAACCCCCGTTCAGAGAGCAAACATGTTTTACATGGCAACATGTTGCAATTACATCTTCAGCCAGGTTTTGCCACCCATATTCACCGTACCTCAAGTTATTCATTCATACCATAAAACTGCATAATTTACAACACTGCCAGCTGTTATTGGTCACTCCTATCTAAACAGTTTTCATACAATGAAATATGAAAAGAAATGAATCAAGTCTGCCTCTTTAGTGGAAACCTGGCTGTGGTTACTCTGGTAATAAGTAAAAAATAGCTGTGAAAGAAGTAACATCCTGTTCAGTGAAATCCACACTGGTTATCTGTGTTTAATTTTCACCTTGATAAATTGCGCTGGTCATGTGTTTCTATCATTCTGTGGTTATGATGGCTGTGGACCAGATAGAACACACCTTCCTACTGCAGGGCAGGAGTTCAGCTCTGAGAGGAGAGCTGTTGCTTTTGACAGATGGCCTCTCTTTCCCATGTTTGCAACGTGCTCAGTCTAGCAGGATGCTGTGTGACTTTTCTATTATTGGTGCTTATTTTTTTTCTTTTAAATCTCAACTGCTTTTGCCTTCTCAATTGTGCGGAAAAACAGTGATGCACAGAGGGATAGTTTCTATGCTTTTTTTGACTCCAGTCTCAAGGTACCAACTTAAAGCTTATATTTCCTGTTCTCCCTTGATACTGGTGCTGTAAGCTTTCACTTTTTGCACTACAGCTGCAACTGCACTTTCTGAAGCCATAACGACAAGTTGTTACAAACATGAAAACTGGCTGTGTTTTAATTGAGTTGATAGAGCAATACAATCTCATTACAATTCTGTCATATCTTAATTCCCTGTATTGGCACAAGGTTTTCTCCATGGTTTTCAGCAAGGAAGATAAACAAATTAGTGGGAATAGAGCAGTCAAAGCTAAACATAAAAACACTACCTCATATTTTATTTTAGATACTGTGATGTGACTTTGATAGTGTACAAACACTGCTGTAATTGTACCTTAAATTCTGTAGGCAGGCTTGACAACAACAGAAATAATGGACTATTATACTATAACTATTCTTCCCTTATCATCTGGATAAAGTCAAGTTCTTTCATAGGCATAAAAACAAAGGCCTATTTCTGCAATGAACAAATGTAACCTGATATTTCCCAGTGTTCCCATGGTGCTCGAGGAGTGCAATGCAATGTACTTAAACTCTGAACAAAGTCTGATAGACATATATGTTAACAAATAAGGATCTAATCTCCTTAGTGGTATAATGTTTTACATTTTTACTTCACATTTATTTCAAAAAGAAGACACAATGTAATAAATAAGGAATGCCTGACATTTACTGTAAATTTACTGAGGATTCTGCTGTTCACAGTCACACAAAGTACAGGGTGTGTGTTTCACTAGTGAACCCAAATGCATAAGGAGCAGCTTCAATTAAAAAGATTTATTCAATTAAAATGATTACCAGATTGGCCACTGATTGACAAAATGTGTAGTCTTTTGTTCCATCTTGGTGCCACCAGCTACTGTGTTTTATTGACAGGTACAGTATCTCAAGACTTCAAGGGCATGTCAGTGTACTGTGGTGATCAACATAATTGTGTTGCAGTATAAGATTCACAGTCCAAAACTAAAAGCCGTGGAAGTGGCACAACAAGATACAGCACCCCAGAGCTGGTCCTGGGAGTACAGGCAATCAGGTGGGACACATGCTGGATGTCCGGATGGCCATGGAAAGGACACAGACACACTCAATCACACGGGCACACACATCACCTGCAGCTCCCAGCTGGCAGCCCACTGGAGCTCAGCAGGTGTGAGCCTGGCCAGTACCTGGATGGGAGACCTCTTGGGAAAAACTAAGGTTGCTGCTGGAAGAGGTATTAGTGGGGCCAGTAGGGGGGGCACTCACCCTGCAGGCTGTGTGGGTCCTAATGCCCCAGAATAGTGATGGGGACACTATACTGTAAAAAGGTGCCGTCCTTCAGATGAGACATAAAACCGAGGTCCTGACTCTCTGTGGTCATTAAAAATCCCAGGGCATTTCTCGAAAAGAGTAGGGGTGTTACCCCGGTATCCTGGCCAAATTTCACTCCTGGCCTTTAACAATCATGACCTCCTAATAATCCCCATCTATGAACTGGCTTAATCACTCTGTTCTCCTCCCCACTGAAATCTGGTGAGTGGTGAGCGTACTGGTGCATCATCCAGGTGGGGCTGCACACTGGTGGTGGTGGAGGAGAGTCCCCATTACCTGTGAAGCGCTTTGAGTGGAGTGTCCAGAAAAGAGCTAAACACTGTAAGTGTAAGGAATTACAGCCAATGCCACAGGCACAATGTAGACACCAAGTGGATGTTGTATGAAAGCAGCTTCAACCGGTTCACTGCTTTGACACAGATTCCTGCCGTGACTCTGTAGAGAGACTTGAAAGTCTGTGTTGCATTGTGCCCTCCATGTTAAAGGTGCTTCTTCTGCAATCAGGACTGACGGTTTTCATTGTGCTCCACTATCCTGCCTGTTTTTCAGAACCACTGAACTACCTTCCGTATCCAAAGTCCGGAAACGATCAACAAAACATTAACTGAATGCCACTGAAGGAGCACAATGATGTCGAGAACGTAAGGAAGGAGAAGAACAACAGGAGGACATTCAGTTCAACAAACCCATTTAGTGGTTAATAACTAACTGATCCAAGGATCTCAGCATGGCTTGGTAGTTTGTTCCATACTTCCACCCTTTGTTTCAAGAAATGTCTCCTGTTTTGATTTACATAAATAATGTACTTTGATGGAGTTTCAATTTATTTTAATACAACTTGTAAGGCTTATATTCTTCTGCCCAGACAGATACACGTTTTGCTGGTAAACCACATTTTATAAAATTGTGGGATTTCTAATTCATCGCCAACAGACATGTTAAAACGTTTTAGCTCTACATCGCAATTACAGTACATTTCTGGGCAGAAGCGTTAAAGAACTTTAATCCTGTATGTCAAAATGTTTCCAAAGAGATCTGACAGCTATTAGCTTCATATCAATCGAGCACAGAAAACACATCGAGAACTTACAATAAAATACTATATAAAACCGCTTGTGAAGAGTAAAAAACAGTGAAGGGAAGTTTTAAAAAATCCAAATGGTCTCTTTGCCTTCTAGCTCTATGCTGTGGTCATCATGCACCACAATCTACACCCAGAAATGTGAACGGAGTGGTATCACATTCACCCAGAATGAGAGCATTACCATAGTTCACATTTCTCACTGTCACACTGGCATCTCCAAATCCTTTTCCTATTTAGGAAGATGCAGGCAATTTTGTATAAACACAGTGAAATATAAATTGTTCTTGTCCAGCATTACAATTTTATGGCTTCTCTGGATTCTTGCCAAACACTTTATAATGAATTCTCAGGGCTCATTAAATACAATAAGCCGTGGGTGAAAGCACAAAGTCCCAGACCTTCTTTTGTCTCACTTTTTTTAGAAGCACAATGTTTGACTCAATCACTATTATGTCAAACCCATTAACAACATAAACACCACCAGCTATGTTAAGCAAGTAACAATGGAGTGGGGTTCAGAAAAAGCAACCAAAGCAAAGCCCTTTTTCATCAGAGACAGGTCCCATGGTGATACAACTGAAGTGAGCAGGTTCACATACAAAGACAGTTCTCTTTTAAGTACAATGCAGGACCTTATACAGTATGTTGTGTTTTTTTCAGCAATTAATTAGTTCACAGATGAAGTTGTGTTATACCTGTGTTCTGAAATCCTGAAATTGCATCAGAGGTATTCATTAAGTTTCAGCCACAACTCAAAACAGTTTCAACCTCAGATTGCTCAATTCGCAAATATAACTCTGCTCTTACAACTGGTAATTAGAACTTGAAGACCATTTTAGGAGGCCATACATTCACCACGTTTACATTTAAACAAGGAATGTGAAAAAACACATTTCTTAGACACAAATATACTCATCTAGCAACCTAAACCAACAGTCCATCCTAGCCAACAAAGAACACATTTGTTGCAACCTTTGCTACATTACTTGATACATAAGGTACTGTAATGTAATCATGCTTAAAGGATCATCTGCATGGGTACATCTGGGAAGAGTGTAAATCAAAATGACCAGGCTGTCTCCTCTGAAGCTGCTATCTCTACCTCAACAGAGAAGTTTACAAAAACCTTCCATATTAATAATAAAATGTTAAGCCAACAAATATCATTTTAGAAATCTAAATATATAGTAGAGATGATAATGTTTTGTTAAAGTATCCTTTATTTTCTAGATGGTTTTGTACCTGGATTGAGTGGTCATTATATTGTAAAACTCTTTGGTTTAAGAAAGTTATTGAACTATTCATCCACTGCCATTTACTCAAATGGTTTAGTCTTCTATAAGAAACACATGAAAGGATTCTTCTATTGTTAATTAAACGTGTATCAAAATATTCCTACTCCTTAGAAAAAAGAGAGACCGAAATCACCACTTACTTGGGATGGATTTGAAAGTAGTATAATGAACCACACGTTGGGCACACATTTTTAGAATGAGAAGGACTGCCAGTTCCATTCAAAATAGCATTGTTTGAGAAAATTAAAAAACATCTCTTGGATTGCAGCAATGGTGTGTTAATAGGCATCAAACAATGCATCTGTTGCTGCCTTGTTACATTAGAGTAACAAAGGCTCACATGCCGCAGGCTTGGAGGCGAATGTGCATGTGCAGATCCAGGAAGGGAGCAGGCTGTCTCCTCGGAAGCTGCCGCACAGGGCAGGAGTTCCCCCGACTGTCCTGCTGCACTGCGCTGGGGGTCGGCCGCGTGCGTGTGAACCCCCGTGGGAATGAGCTGAGGGGACACTTTCTGCCCTGCAGCTTCTAATGAAGAAGTGACAGCTCAGACATTCCCAGAACAAGGCATTCTTTCACTTTGTTTTACACCTGCACCTGCCTGGGTAATACAACTGCAGCTGTATTTCCCTTATATCATTGCACACAATACTCACACTTCCCCTTATTACGCATTTACGGTTTTATTCAGGATACTATTCAAATAAAACACAACAGCTCAACACTCACAGGGAACACTGCATTACATCTCTTCTTCTATTCATAATAAAATATTTCAACACACACTTATCTGCTGTCTTCTTAAGTCACCATACACAGTATGTACAATAGCAGGAGCAACTAAAGCATTTCGCAAGGCCAGTGCTATTCTGAATGGACATTTGCAAATTTATTCAAGCGCTTTTCCTATAACGCACAGTGCACGACCTTCCTTATAGATGTACATCTACTGTATGGAAACTAGCGTCGGGGGACGGCTACAAGCTTTACCCGCTGTGAGACAAGAGGGTTTTGCGGGCGTTCACTACGAAAAGCGATGCTACAAAGCATATCTAACTTCGGTGACATTTCGACAGTCTCGATTGTTCTGCCTAACCCCTTCATGGGTACCAAGGCTTCGCACGGCAATTCTAATGTTACAAGAAAACGTCGTTTCAAAGCACATAAAAATGCTATACTGCAGGGCAGAATGTGTCCACAGAGAAAGAGAGCAACGAATACTGCTCAACACATGACCAGTCGAGATGTAAAGGTGCCAGTGTCATACAGTACAGTCTCGGCTACGGGCTACACCGCCCAGCCCATGCGTGATTTGCGTACGCGAGAAAGAACTTCCCAAACTACAGTGAAAAATAACACATCGAGTAAGCGATCAGAAATGTTAACTCCGTTTGTGCATGCAGAAGTCCCCAGCGGAATGCTAATTAAGACAACATGAATAGCTAACAAAGACGCTCCAGTTTTTTTTTTTGCCTTTATGTAACTGGCACTAGACTCCCCTTGAATAAGAATAAAAGATCAAATCTTAGCTTTAACCCCCACAGACGACAGGTAAAAAAACAAACAACCAAGTACGAAAATATAATTTAGAAACAATTACCCAGGAGCAAGTCTTCGCGTGTTGAAGTGAGTACCTTTCAGCCTTGCAGGGTGCGGAGAGATCGGATGCCCAGCCCTTTAAGCAGAGAAGAAATGAGCCGGTCGACTAACTTGCCTGTGGAAAGAGAGAGCGCACATGAAGTCTCTGCCCAGGGCGGTCCGGCAGAGGGAGCGAGCATGTGACGCGCGTCTGTCACTCGCATAGGCTCTCACTCAGACTAGCACATCTGGCGAGGAGAACGCGACAACACTTTCTCACTTCTTGAGCTTTTTTTCTTATGTGAACATGCTCAGGCAACGATGCCCCTACGGCAAATAGTGCCCCTTTCCCTTTAGAGTCATTCGTCTTCGATCTGGATCACCGTAGCTGCGAATACTGCTCCGAGGACATTTGGGATGCGTGCCAATGTAATGAGCATCTTAGGAGAAACACGCAGCGTCGGATTGATTCTTTACCTCCGACATGGTAAAACTACAGCATGCATTTCTGCGTTTACGGATTGCTGAGACTTGGTGGTCTGAACGAAACACGCCGCACAAATGTGGAGACTAAGCAGGCGAGCGCAAAAAAAAAAAAGAAACGGGTTAACTATCGACTAACGACGTTTATTCAAAACAGGAACACGAACAAAATGATAACAGGTCAGATGTTTATGACAACCTGCAGTGGTAGAAGCCACAGCGTTTGCAAAGTTGTGATCTGTGAATACGGCCTTTTATTGGCGTCTGTTGCAGGACTTCACGTGTAGCATTTATTTTATCGAAGTCCCGGGCCCCCGAATGTCACACTGCTCCTTTGCCTCTTACCTCTTGAACTGTGCCGGTAGGTAAAAGTGAACTTTAGCTCATCTCAGGGAGCCCACGCTAGCCCAGCCCCCGACCTCCCCATCAGATGATGTTCAAGCCGAGGAGCTCGGCTGCCGCTCATAGGCTCGGGCCTGAACTGTTCCGCTATGTCACCCCATTCATCTGGCGTCGGCGCAGACCAATCACAGGGCGCACACATGCGGCAGGCGGAGGCGGGGACGGCGCAGGCAGCCCACGTAATCCCTTTCGGGGTGACCTGCAGACAGGAGGGGGGACAAGGAAGTCTGAGAGAGGAAGGCCGTTGCCTTGCGCGCTGCAAACCGAGCTTCTATGTGCCGTTGAAGTGAACGCAACTCAGGGTGCAGATCTGAAAGTGAGGGGAAAAAAATCCCAGGGGAGACGTCCAGCCGCCAGTCCAGTCCAGTCCACTGGTCACCTGTCCGGCGTGCACGGAGCAGCTGCGCTCTGTCGGGCCCGGCCCTGTCGGCCACAGAAGATACCCCGGGCTCCTCTTGCACAGGCAGTGACAACAAACGGGACAGGTTTCCAAACGGTTTGACTCCTGCCCCTCACCTGTTAGCGGACAGCTCGATCGTGAGAAGATTTGTGAAAACTGTATCAGCGCTCCCGAGATCCCTAACTGCGTTACTTTAGGTGGTCCCATTAAAGTGGATTTTCTAAGTTTTTTTAAATTCAAAATTACAGGCTTTAGGAAGGGGAAAGCACAATTCAAATCAAGTTCAAGTTCCAAGTTTCAAGTTTATTGTCATTACACTCATATACATGGTATATGGTATAACGAAATGCTATTTAGCTAGCTCTCGGACATAAGTAGTACAAAGAGAAAAAACAACAACAACAATACAATTGTGTTGTGAAACACAATTTTCATTTTCAATTGAAAATGAAAATGATGTGATATCGAAAGGATATAGTTGACAATCCATTCGCAGTTTACAGTGACAACTTTCAGTTTTTATATTTTTTGCTAGGAAGAGTTGGCATCCCGTGAGGGTGTTTGTGTCGAGAGTGGAAAATGGGCAGACGAACAAGACAATAATTACTTAGGGAGGACAAATAGAGGCCCAAATGAAAACTGTGAGGCAATACAAAGAAACAGCCTTTGTTCCTGTCTCAATTTTTTGCATCTCTACACAAATATTAGGGGCTCTCTGCTATTAGGGAACTCTTGTACTCTTGAGCAAAGCACTTCAACTTTGCTCAGATTGCTTCAGGAAAATGTACGTGTATTAGTACAAATATAAGTTACTTTGTATAAAAGTAATAACCCAAAAATAATAATCTGCTCAAAGGCACCAGTCAGATTTCAGACTTGTGTGGAAATTACTAGGGAATATTTGTGTAATTATATGGGCTTTTTGCAATTGGGGGAGTACATTTCCAGGGTTCTGGTGTCAGTTTGTGGATTCCTGCAGAACTGGTGTGAAAGTAATATGTATGGGTAGATGTCTGGTTATTGTATTTTTTTATGTAATGTTTACTTGTCCTTCGGATGAGATGTAAAACAGGTCCTGACTCGCTGTGGTGCTTAAAAATCACAGGGCATTTCTCGAAAAGAGTAGGGGTTTTACCCTGGTGTCCTGGCCAGATTTCCCCCTGGCTTTTACCAGTAATGGCCTCCTAATAATCCCCATCTCTGAACTGGCTTCATCTCTCTGCTCTCTTCCCCACTGAGAGCTGGTAGGTGGGGAGTGGACTGGCGCATCATCCAGGTGGGGCTGCACACTGGTGGGGGTGGAGGGGATCCCCATTACCTGTACAGCACTTTGAGTGGAGTGTCCAGAAAAGTGCTATAGAAGTGTAAGGACTTATTATTTGTACTGTTTGTATGTTTTGTAAGTTTCAGTGTGTGTAAAACATAGCTGCTTTGATGCAAGACAAAGTTTGGAGAAGTGAGACAATAAAGTATTATCGCATCCTACATTATATATGTTCAAAAAGTAGGTGAGTGTGTTGATAGACTTAAAGAGCTATTTTGTACAGTAATGGTTTTAAACAAAGAATTGTGAAGAAGATGACCTCTGAAGATGTCCGTGCTTCCTGTGTTGGAAAACATGCAATAAAAAGCACACTTTGTCTGATAACAGTTGACTGACAAAACATGAGCACAAGAGAAGACTCGGGTAGGAAGAGAGTCCAGTTTATTAAAGATGATGGAAGCCATTTTGGGACAATGGGGCATTTCCACTTCTGTTCTGTCACCCCAGTTCTGCATTGGTCACAGAACCTGGAACCCAGCTGTTAATATTAGAAAATATATTTCTGTCAACACTTCAGAGAAATTACACTCAATCGTGTTACTTTTAACAAAAGCACAAGAAATGTTTAGAGCTCATGATGTGCTCAAATTGATACAGTCTTCTTGTGACGCTTATTGTTTTATAAATTGTTCTGGTGTTGTAAGATAGCTAATAACTTACCTGATAGCCCGATAGAACCTGATAGCTGTTCTATCAGGCCATGTGCATGGCATGGCAGTGTTTCTGTAAAATTCAGGGGTTGGTCATTTGGTCAATTAGTTGCACTAATTCAAAATCCACATTGTGTTACTCAAGATTAAAACCAGAAGTCAGTAGGTTCATACAGCAACACAGGTCATGGTCTGTCAGATTACCATCAGTCTGCTCAGGGACAGTTTCAGAGAGACTGGTGGTCTGGCTGAAGAGCCGAAAACCAGTACATCCATCCAGTCTACTGCAACTTTCCATTCATGTCTACCACTTTATCTTACACAGGGTTGCTAAAGAGCCAGGGCCTATCCCAGCAAGCCACAGGCACAAGGCAGGATAAACCCTGGATGGGACGCCAGTCCATCACAGGACACACACAGACACACACAATCACTGTAGGGCCTATTTTCCCAGAAGACAATCGACGCACCAGTATGTCTTTGGACTGTGGGAGGAACCTGGAGCACCCAGAGGAAAGCCACGTGAACATGGGGAGACCATTGAAACTCCACCCAGACAGCACCCCAGGAATTGAACCCAGGGCCCCTGAGCTGTGAGGCAGCAGTGCTCACCACTGCATCACCACACAGACCGGTCATTAAGGAAATCTGCCCACTTCGCAGGCGCTGTCCTGTGAATTTCTTCTTCACGGGTGATAGATAATGTGAGACCATATTGTGAGAACAACACCGGGCTGCTCCTCAAGGTGAGGCGCCAGTATGATCCCAGACCTCACCTGGATTTCGCACCTGTACACAGAAATAAGGACATAAGGGATTCTCAAACTGGTAAAGCAACTTGCTAATCAAGCTTTTTCATTGCAAACAGGGAATATCAACCTACAGGTGCTTACAGTACATCACTGCACTGTATCTGTGCTTTCATAATTCAGACTATTATAATGTATCACTTCCCTTTTGTATCTGATCGCTTCTTGTATAACACTTTTAAAAACAGTTTACTCAGGAAAATATCAAAGAATGATGCATAGGGTAAAATGAGATTTTTTTAAACGATTGGTTATTTTTAATAGTTTTAAAACTTTGTGGTATTGAAATATTGAGAATATGAACCAAAGTGCATCACTCCATAATCAGAAATTTGCATATTTCTGGTCACGATATTTCTCCCAGTGCTCATTTGTTAAATTTGTAATTCCTTTCAGTATTAAAAGCCTCTTTTTGACATTTGTATTTATATACGACGTGTAGTAAACACACGATAAATGAGTATTGAAACCAATAGCATTTGTTTTGTGCTGAATGCCTCTCCACATATACTGTATACACTTCTGAAAATCATACAAAAAACGGCAGCACGTCAGAGTTGTGTAATGATCTGCTCAGTCACCGCGGTACCATCCTTGACAGGGCCTCATGGGCATCTGAACAACTATGCTTCCTAAAACCTTTTACTTTAAATGTGGTACATCAGACAAAAAATACTTTAATTTGTCTAGAACTCGTGTTTTTTAATAACTTTTACAGGTCACAGGTGAACTACTGTATCTGTAGCCCTCGTACTTAAAACTGTTGAGGCAGTAGTTTGTTCTTCTTTCTTATCTAAGGTCACCTTATGGTTCATTTGTTGTCACACTTCTTTCCCTCAGATAAGCTGATCTGCCGTAGATACACAAATCCTTTATTTACCGCAACGTTTCTGAGCGAGATCCCCTAATTTGACAGCTGCTTTGCAGGATACGCTGAGTGTGACTTTGCACAGTGGTAGAATTACCTTTTATCCCTAAAGGTTTAGAACTTGTTAGTTACAACATGATACTTTCTTTGAATGACATCAGATGACGATGACGGGCATTGAGATAAGGCAAAAGGTAAAAGGACTTATTAAAAACTGTACCGTGCTTCCGATCTCTAGATTGACTTCGTAAAGACTGTTCATAGAGAGCAAATTAATTCTAAGCTTTTCTAAATAATTAATGTAGGTTTTACTGTTGAGCTTTTGGTGACGATCAAGGTTTCAGTGGATGTTATGGATGGCGATATTGCAAAGCATAAATATGTGGTTTTTCGCATGCATTGTACGCCTTCTGTTATGTGCTTCGTATTGTCTTATTTGAAATGGATTGCAAATTGTATCCTTATTTACATTTTTAATTGTACAGTATACAAAAGATGCATGTTCGTAGGGTGAACATTAAAAGTCACTTATCACCGTGTACTATGGTAGTAAAAACGGGACCCTATGAAATTATTGATAATAGGTTCTGCCATAAAGCGCTTGTCTAAAGTATAAAGCAAATGGGATAGAATGCAGGTCATTGTTTGGGGAAGCTATACGTGTCTGTAGGAACACTAAACTGAAAATCTATATATAACACGATTTAAAAGTTTTTTTTGGTAACATGATGTACAGTAATGGCTTCGAGTATTATGGATTATTAATATAACTCCAAAATGCGAAATAAAACATAGATACAATACAGTTCTGCTGTGATGTCCTGCCCCTCCTCCATCATTATCTGCTTTCTTTAACGACCTAAACGTGCTATTTTTACTTATTCACTGGATGAATGTTAGTAAGACACTAAAACGCTATTGGAAAAGTACACATACTACATAACAACATAGCAATTTGTATCGAAAAACACAAATCCTGATTCATAGTTAACGGTTTGTGTAAGGCGGTACTGTGTCACTCGATTATAAAGTTGCAGCTGAACTGCATCTAGATTCGCAAGCGCTTCTGAAGTGATAAAAGCAGCATAAATAACGCCGACAGCACTCGACTCTTCAAATCCATTACTTTCGGAAGTGCTGGGTGGACCAGAATAAGTACTGTATACTGTATGAACTTTACCCTACAGTATGGAAGTAACAATAAGGTACATCAAGAGAAATGTAAGTCGTGACGTAAACCTTTGCCCTCAAAGGACTGTCATTGGATCTCACACGTTGATGGAGGTGCATGGTGTTTCAGAATGTTTGTTTTTTGTTAACCTTTTCTTTACAGTTATTATTGTAATTTTAAGCGGATGTGGAGCCTGACTAGGGATACAGCTGGTGCCATTTCTTCACGTTTGTTCCTGTTTTTCATTAGCTACAGCTAAAGCAGAAGAAAACAACATGAGCTAGAGGAGAAGGAGCAAGCATTCAGTTTATGTTTAAAAACAGACAACCGAATATTATAAAAGGAAAGTATTTCTTGGCATTCCTGTCCGTTTAAGGACAGTACCTGTTAACACAAGAGAAAATATAATCTTTTAAGAGATCAAAAGTGAAGTGAAAAATACGTTGCAAATTTGTGTTGAGTTCCTCGTGATATGCATGTAGTAAACTCTCTTTCACCACCTAGTGGTACGTTAAGCGAATTATTTTACAGAGCGAAGATTTCTCTAAAACGGTTTTTTTTAACTGCGAAGGAAAAAAGTGACGTATTTTTTTTAAAAAAATTGACTACACTAAAAGGCTCTTTAATATTATAAAAGTTTAGGAAGCATCATGTTATTCCAGGAACACTACGTGATTGATTTTATGTTTTCAAGAGTAAAATGCTTTTACTAGAACTACTTTCCATTGTAGCAAAAGCGAGAATGCAGTATCTTCATTAATGCCGTGATGAAAATTAAACAAACACCCTTTTTTAAAATTAAAATTAAAGCAGTCCTGCAAAGAACACAATAGATATGGATTTTATTAAATTCAAGTAGGCAGCTGCGTCAGCATGCGTAGGCTTCAAAGCAACAGGCTCTTTTCTGTTCAGCATGGAAGAAACCTTCACCTGTTCCTTCGCAACTGGATCTTCTGTAAATGTAAGATGACATTTCTGACCCCATCACTTTCTACAAAAAGCTCAAGTCTGCATTTCTGGGTCCTGACTTTCTGTGCTATTTGTTTGCGAGTGAACGATTAAATTAGCTTCAAATCACACCAGTAAAACTTTCCAAAGAATTAACTACAATGAAATGAAGAGAGGAACATTCAAGACACTGAGCATCTCCAATTTATTTCAAGGCCTACTTTCAATCTCTTCACTAAAATGCCAAAAATATTGTTCAGCTTCACCTGATTTTCTGGTACAGTGCTACTTTTGTGCAAGTTATCTATACAATATCAGTAGAATGGACAATATGTGAAAATATTTATTTACCACAGTGGTTGAGATTATTGTCTTCAAGCCAGAACATTCATCTGGAAGAGTTTGAACAGCAGCAATGTCAGCAACAAGTCAAACCAGTTCAAAAATAGCCCAAAAGCATAGACTAAGCACAGTTAAAATTAGCAAAGCAGGGAAACAATATTTACAGGGATGTATAGGATAAAATCTTTCTAATATACACCTTCAAGTTTTGTTACATTTCCATAACCCAAAGAGATCACTTTGTTTCCATATCAATTAGAAATATGTACATATATATTGTTTAATATTCAGTTTTATGCTATTAAAATATTTTGTTATTAATAAAAATCTGATATTATATACAGGTTTGATAAAAACTGTGCCAATAATTCTACTTTGATCAGAAGACAAGGTCAATCTGATTGGACCGCTATTAGGTTCACATATTTGGTCTTCATTTCATGCAAGAAGGGCCTTCATCACCTCGAATAAAACTCTCATTAAAACGGTGACGTCTGCTCCACTCCTCTATTTTGCCCTGTTAATGGGGTTACCAATGAGCTCCGGGCAATGCGCTGCTCCCTTTGCAATCCTGTCACACAGCAGAAGGAGGTCGTAGTTGATTTTATCAGTTATCACACTGTCCTGCTTGTATTCTGGGTGCTTGGAAACAAACTCCCTCATCCATCGGGCCATGGTCATTAGCTCCCCTAAGCCACCAAAAAAAAGAATATCACTCAGGGATCCCATAAGAAAGCAAATGGCAAAACATTTCTAAAAACTCACATACAGAGAGTTATCCATCCATTATCCACAGCTACTGTACTTCACCCTATAGAAGTCCAAGGTGAAAACAGTGAAACAGTAGCTTCACTGTCAGAGGTTTTTAATTACCCCTTTATTTTACCAGGTAAGTCAATTGGAAAGATTTTAATGAACAAAAGTATTTTCTGGAGGAAATTTGAGAAAAGCAGCTTGCTCAAGAGTACAACAGCAGTATGCCACGCAGAATTTGGACCAGTTTTTCGAGTCCAGAAACCTAGCTTCCACTGCACACTATCAATAATGAAATATTAAGAGCAGATCTGCAGGCAAATATATCCACCAGCAACGTCAGGAAAAAGTCAGTGAGAGTGCTAACCTTACACACTAACAGACTGAGGATGAAACATTTCCTCTCAGATTCTGAGGCTGAAAACCTTCAATTTACTTCAATGATACTAGTCACTTACCTGAAGCTCTCTTCTTGATCAGTTTCAGATAGTTTAAGATGGTGCACCGTGTCTCCACGTCCACCTCCATGTTCTCCAGATAGCAGTTAAGAATTGGTATTAGACCTTGAAAGACACCTTCCTAAAAAACACCAGGTGCAACAGTGAAGAGAGTTGCTTTCGCCATCCTGCAGTTAGTCTTTATTGATTGCTTGTATTAAGGTTGCATTAATAAGCCTGTGGAGGTTACCAACCTTTCCATTTATGATTGTGTCAATGCTCATTAGGGCATATTCCTCAGTGTCACCGTTGAGCCCATTCTGGGTGGTAGCAGAGCCATCAGCTATGGGATTACAGCCTGTTGGACCACAGACAGAGAGAAAATGTATGTACCCTATCCAAAATAAATGTTTAGTTGCAAAACATGCTGCTCAACGCTGCTCAAGTTGACTATGTTTTTTTTTGCTAAATTTGGATTTTTACAATTATGTTACAATATTTTCTATATCTTGAAAATTATATACTTAGCCAGCCGAGGAAAATAATACTAAGCAGAAAACAATTTCTGTATATTGTTCCTCATATACAAGATCAGAATACCATACATACTGCTAAAAAAAAACCACAGCATTTCTCCAGGTTTTATACCTATACTTATCCAATCAGAAAAAAAGTGTAATAAAAAGTGGACAATTATTCATAATATATAATAAGTACCTTTAAAAATGTCCTTTCGGAAGTAAAACTTGCCCTCAAGCACAGCATTTCGTTTCTGAGCAACCTTCATGTTTTCATCAACCTAATGTAACAAGAAAGATTTCTGCAGTATTGCAATGAGACTTCAGTCAGCATTGTAGCTCTGAACATGTTCATGGTAATTTCTCATTTTTCCCCATCCATCCATACATCTTAACTACCACTATACAACAGAAATATCACCACCTTCTAGACAGATCTCGTCAGACTGTCACCAATATAAGATCTCAGAAGCTTAGCAGGACAGGCTCAGTACAAGGATGAGACAACTAAGTAGAAAACCTTGTGGCTGCTTTAAATAGTATTGGTTGACCAGTAGGTGGCGTTTTCCCTCTTGCAATCGTGTCTCAGCTATCTGTGATGGTTGCGCTGAGGGTGTGTGGGTTGATGGACTATTCAGAGACAGAAGTGCAGACTTTCACACGAGATAGCGAGGGTAAAATCAGCTGTGGTCTTGTTCAACCATTCTCCTATTTAAAAAGGTCCAGCGCGCAGGTCTTTATGTTGAACTGGCTAGTCATGAGGTTCGACCGGTGCAAGAATGACTCTTAGAGCAGGGGAAAGTAAAACAATGTCCTGCAGGCTGTAAGGGAGAAGTGGACTAGTGCTCTTGTAGTCCTGTAGATTTAAAAAGGAGAAGCAGGACTTGCTTTAATGATAGAAGGGAGCAGCACAATGCTGCTCTCCGATCATTTAAATATGATCATGACGGAGGAGTCCGGTAAGGAAAAAGCAGGTTACGGGCCACGTCAGGGTGAGGAGGCTTTTACACGAGAGCTTGTCCGACCTCAACCCCAGTGTCTTAACTCCCCTCAGATGTTCTAAAAGGATACAGCACATAGGGAGCCAGTTACTCTGTGAAAGGGGGTACTGATGTGTAGATCCTTCAAGCCGCCCTACCGGGTTAGAGGAATCTGCCACAGGCCAGCACTTCTACAACCAAAGCCCCAGCATATTGCCCAGCGACACAGGACTGTAGAAGGTGCCATCCTTCAGGTGAGTCATTAAACCGAGTTTGTGACATCTCGATCATTCAGATCCCTTGGCACTGTTTGTGAACTAATCCAGGTGTCTGGGATACATTCCACAACATTGACTGCACTACAATGGCCCCCCTGTATATAACACATTGGAAACCACTTGAACTAAAAGGTCAACATAAAATACAATTAATCGGCATTTCACTGCTGATTAATGAATGTCGTTACCTACCTTTGACAGTGGAATGAGAAAGTCTAGCTTGTATGACAGAATCACGCGGGTGAGTAATACCACAAAAACAACGTATGCAGAGTTTTCAAAATCTGTCAGCTGGACCTGGAGAGGAGAAAAATGAGATGCATTATGAAGTCCAATACGTTTTTTGCTCACCTGGTTTTGAGCTCATGTGCAGAGTGCAGCGACTCAAAATGTGGGACAATGCAAAAGAAATAACTATACTTTCCATTTTTCTCAATACGTCTGTAGTGAATAGCAGTTACTTACCTCCATTGGGCGAAACTCGACTCTCCATCCAATGTCCGAATTGGGTGGAGGTGGTTTAAACCTCATTGTCTGCCAGTTGGTTGACTGAATGTTCTGTAAGGAAAAAATCGAATATCAGCAGTTTGCTGCTTTCCTGCTTGCACGTCTCAAGATGAGTGTGTTCACGTGCTTAGAAGAAGAATCCGAGCGAGAAGGAGAAGGAACTCCGGCAGACCTAACACTGGGCACCTCACTGCATACCCACACTCCAGGGTATACTGTACCTCAAAATGGTCAGACTCATTTTTATCATCTATGTGAATTTTCTCCTCAAAAAGAGCCAGAGGGTCCCGGATGAAGAGATGGGCTATATGCTGTGCCAGGAGCTTGTCGATCCCTGAAATACAAAGCGGATAAAAAAAAACACTCAAAGAGATTATTTACATTATAATGAGGGTGGAGGTACTGTATGCATTCATGAACACAACTCATTTTTGAGAAGACCTCCCATTTCACATAGTTACCTGCTTCCAAAAGCTGTTTTTCAATCTGCTCATCCTTGGTTAATTCTATGTCATTGTATTTCTCACCACAGGGGGAGAGGTAGCTGTCAATGGAATCATATCTTGATTTATGGATCCGAAATTTATTAGTTTTCAGGGGCTGCGAAAATGGAATAAGACATCTTTATATATAATGACACACTTCTAAAAAACTCATGTATGACTGCACAGCATAACCAGAAACAGAAAAAAATACTGAGCATTAACATCTTGGGTTTGATCTTTGCACGCTATTTTCATAAAATATCTGATCAGCTAATTAACCTGGGATGTGTTACTGGCTCTATTTATGCGTTTTACAGGACAAGTAACTATTCAATATTGCTTCTTAAAAGTCAAGCTTTCCTAACAGTGAAAATGCGGAGCTCCTTTTGTGGAACACTGACACTGTACGGCCTTCCTAGCTCATGATTCAAAATGTCATACGAAGGGCAAGTTTTGTGAACCAATTATTAGCTGTCAGAATGACAAGCAATGTAAGGATAAATTACTGTATTGATAATTACCATGCAACTTGACTGAAAAACAAAGGGAAAGGAAAAATGCAGACTGTGCAAATTGCACATTTATGTCAATGAATATGGGAATTTTCTGAAGGAGAGGTCTGCCACCGATTCATGTGTGGTTAAGCACGCAGAAGAGCGCCTGGAATTCTCTTCCTTACCTCCAGTCCCCTTTCCTCTCGGGTTCGGTCATCTGCTGAAGCCGAAACAACTCCCCAGCGACAGTCAATGTCGGACACGTAGCCTCTATAAAACGGAGAAGCTGCGCTAAGAGCCATCTATAAACATAAAAACGAACAAAGCATTTATCACAACGCTTCTAAGAGCACATTCACATTTTATTCCAAGCAGGGTTTATAATAGACTCACACTGGTAGGACAATATCCTTTCTCAAAGATGATGGAGTTAGAAAAGATAAATGTTTTAAAAAAAAATGTTTCCATAAAAAAAGACTACTAGGCCCGTAATCTCTTTAAATTATGTACAAAAAATAAGGTAAAAACATGCATTTCTTAAAAACACACAATCTATTTTTTTAATCAATGAACTGCAATGAATTGCTATAAGCTGAGTGTATGTTTTTATGCAACTGCATTTCTTTCTTTACAGTAGAGAGAAAACACACAGCAATCTTCACCACAGCTTTATAACATGGAGCTAAAAAAGGGCACTTACAACAATTGGGCAAATTGTGGCCAGTTGATCATATAAATATCTTGCTTCGTAGATGCTGCAAGCTTGGAATGTTACCTGCCAAAACAGTAAAGCTTTTTAAAGCTGCTCTGCAATGTGACAGCATATGTACAATTATGATTGAAAATTACAATAAAACAAAAACAACAAAACAGTAAGAGATAACATGCACTCTAGGCTTCGTTTACACACTCATTTTTAAAAGTAATTCAAAGCTAAAACACCTTAAGCTAAATACTTACCTGCAGGCAAATAGTTATATATTCCAACCACAATGGCTCATCATTTCTCCTTATCCTGGTTTTCATGGCGTTAAATGAACAAAACTCCCCCCTACCCTCAGAAAACATCGGTCCCAGTTTAGACATCTGGATGGACTGGAACTACTGGGGTAAGATCAGCTACAACAACAGCATCTGCACCAGGTTCTTGAACTCACCACCCAACAGTCACGAGTCCAGAGACTTAGTCTGAAGTGTCTGTTACACTGTGCTATACTACACAGTCCCAACATACCTGGAGTATAATGAAATTACATTGTGATTTCTTCTTAATGTCCCTTTCTTCAGTAGTTATTTAACTACACCCACTCCCCGGGTTCCTCAAGTTACATATGAGTAAAATAATAAAATCACTCAGGTGCTTCCCTGACATGATTGCAATACAGATCACTCACAATCTTAAGTGAAAAGTGAGACAGAAGTCACCCAACCCCAAACGGAGCCATGGCCGAGACTGCAGCGTGCTAATCGCCCACGGATTAGCCACACCACTCGCTCTTTACGAATTTTCACCTCACCTACAAACCTTCACTATGGGACCCCGGCAGGTTTTCACGTGGAGTCGAGTTTGTGTAAGTTGAGTCCTATGTAACCCGGGGAGAGAATTAACACAAATAAATAGCAGTATCGTGTAGACCTCCGCCTTCGGAACACAGCCAAGCCATTCATTTCTGAAAACCACTCAAACTGAATGGCCACACGGCGGTAAAGGGAATTTCATGAAGAGGACTTGCTCAGCGTGAGAAAATTAATTTGTCGTGAAAACGACAGCATATTGCTGTGACAGTTTGTTCTGGGACCGCTTTAAAAAGAGGCTCAGTCCTCGGAGTGCAGCCCTCGCTGGCACTTGGCACTGGAGAAATGCTCTTACTTGAAGACAGCAGTTGCCCATTCCAAAGCCCATGGCGTCCATGTAGATATGGTCAGGCAGAGCTGCCCTTGCTGCCTCACCACTGTCATCAGGGAATTTCTCAACAAAAGGCACCGGGGTGTGTCTGTCTTTAAAAACTGTGGAGAGAGAGACAGGAAGAGCTCTTTGAGGAAAGCACAAAGATCCCGTTCCTCTGTCATGTACTCAGTGCTCTTCACAGCATGCAAATTTCACCCCCTTGCTTTTCTCCTTCCAGTACCAACTAGGATAGAAAAGGCCAATCGAAATCGGTCATGGGCTAGACCTCACTCTGGGAAAATGTTAACCGTTTCCAGTTCCATTACATTAAAGGACAGCCTGATTACAGTGCGGATCATTCCTCACAAAGCACTCTGCTCCCAGAAAAGAACAGTGAAAATGTTATTCTGTCCTGGTTCATTAGCAGAAATGGGTTAATATGCTCATTATTCCATAACGTTCACCAACAGCAAGCCTGTGCATGGATACTCTACTGCCTGCCACAGTGGAACAGGAAGTGTTCATCTCTTTTATACTCACTGGGTATGTTGATGACTATCTTCTCTCCTCGCCGGTGCCGGATGTTTCTCGTCAAAGTACTACTCAAAACAGAGCAAAATTAATATTGCCATTCTCCACACACCGTCTGTGCTCCAAACTCAGATTCATGTACATCTTACGTTACACAATTTGTTACAACGGCGCTGTCAGGCTCAAGAATGTCTTCTCTCCAGTCAATAACGTATCTCTGCAATAATATTTACACTTAAGTGCCCTTGACATAACTTAGAAATGTACATTTGCACAAGCCTCTGGGTCTCCCAGTGTACTGTATCTTAGCATGACCTTGACTGGGGTGGGATCCCTGAATCCATGTTGTATTTTGTTAAACTGGCTCTCTGTTTTGTACTCATCTGAAAATGCCTCTCCGCAATACTGCACAGCATGTATCTGCAAATAAAAGACCAAAGACTACATGCAGCTACTGTGGTGGAATAAAACAGAATCCGTTCAAAATGCTGCCTTCACATCTCCTCATGTTCCCACTGGCCCAGACACTGGGGTGTTACGATTTGTGATACAGTATTGACTCTACTTGCCTAAACCTTGGGTGTCTGTTAATGGCCTCATCAGGGAAAAAAATGGACTTGGATGCTCCTTTATCAACAGGCTTGGGTTCATACTCTGGCAGAGTGAAGCCTGGGCAGCCCAGCCTGAAAGAAAAGAACAGCATGAAATTGAAAAGTGTCAATATTTGGACTGTTGCCTGACAAAGGAATGAGAAACAAAAAGCCCTGCTATTTTCTCCTCATCGATATTTTATCACCTTGGGCCGGCAGTACTAGATTTGACACCCTGGAACACCGTGTGACAGGGCACACTGACAAACCTGCAAGGCGTTCCCACACACATAAGCACAGATCAAGCTAGATTTCAATAACACATGTTAATACAGCAATAAGGCTAAGAATTAGCATCAGCCTTAAACCAGAAAGTCCTCAAGTGCTGCTGTCTGGCAGGTTTATAGTTGAGCTTTCTTCAAGAAACAGCCAAATGGCCACCCTTTCTTCAAGGATAAGATCCACGCATCAGTAAGCTACGAATTAAAAAAGGGCCCAGTGGGACAAACGGCCACCTCTTGTTTGTTAGCTCTCTGATGTTCTAATTTGATTAACTAATAAACAGCAGCCAGATCACCCTGCAGCTCCCCGCTGGCAGCCCACTGGAGCTCAGCAGGTGTGAGCCTGGCCAGTACCTGGATGGGAGACTCCTGGGAAAAAAGGTTGCTGCTGGAAGAGGTGTTAGTGGGGCCAGTAGGGGACGCTCACCCTGCGGCCTGTGGGGGTTCTTATGGGGACACTATACTGTAAAAAAAAAAGGCACCATCCTTCGGATGAGACATAAAACCAAGACACTGGTCATTAAAAATCCCAGGGCATTTCTTGAAAAGAGTAGGGGTGTAACCCCAGTGTCCTGGCCAAATTTCCCCCTGGCCTTTACCAATCATGGCCTCCTCATAATCCCCCTCTCTGAACTGGCTTCATCACTCTGCTCTCCTCCCCACTGAGAGCTGGTGTGTGAGCAGACTGGCACATCATCCAGGTGGGGCTGCACACTGGTGGGGGTGGAGGGGATCCCCATTCCCTGCAAAGTGCTTTGAGTGGAGTGTCCAGAAAAGAGCTATATAAGTTTAAGCAATTATTCTTACAATTTACTAGGATTTAACCCTGTTGTGATCAGTGTGTTTTAATATTTTCATCAATGAGAATTAAAGATTGCTACTTGACACAATAGAAATATATATAACTGTTGAAATCCTAGCAGAGGCTTTTTTTGGTACAAATTTCATGCTAAATAAGGTATCCAAGCCTTCCACAGTAGAAAAGATAAGAAATGTTATCAAGCTGTTTAGTAGTTAGCAGCTACTGTAATTTGATCTCATCAAACTATTTCTTGTAGGAAGCCATGGTACAGGTTTCAATAATATTGCTGATTAGGTCGATCCATTTGCCCACAAACTTTACGTAAAGAAGTGTCTCCGGTTGTCAGTTTTAAATGCTTTTTCACATACAGTATATTCGGCTTGTTTCACTGTTTGGTCTAAAGATGTCTGCTGAGTTATCTTTGACAATGCCTTTGAGGATTCAGAATAGTTAAACACACACAATTAATGAAAGCGCTGCTTTCATCTCAACATGAAGCACTAATATCATACAACAAATGTCTGTCAGCATTAAACCTGTTCTGGTGGAGAGGATATCCCGTAAGACCATATAAAAGTGTCGCTGAGTTTTGCATTGAACTCGAACAGATTTTGCATTCCACAGCTAGAAGAAAAACTTTGCAACACCTGCTACACCTCTACACAAGAGTGTAGAGAGAGCATTTTCAGTTTTTTCCAAAGACATTTGATGGTAAGGTTATGACTCATCTGCAAAGCTACCAAAGAAAGATTTGGTCTAGCTCTAGCCGTTTTAAATGTTTTTAAAGAAAAACACTAAGTATATGTTAATGTTTTGGGAAGTTCGGTCTGTCAGATACATTATTTTCTAGTGACTTAAGGCAGGCTGACAATGTGTATAACGTAGTACTCTTCACATTAGATTCAGATCCAGGCTGAGTGCTTAATGTACCTGATTTTACTAACAAATATCAACATTTAAATAGTACAGAAGCCAAAGACAACAAAACATCTGTTTACTTTATACCAGTAGTGCAGCAAATGTGTTTTATGGTAGTAAAACTATTTGCATTCATCTGCTGTGCTGGGGTTGGTTTAATACAAAGGATTGTGTCCAAGAATATGGACACTTTGATGGCACAAAAATCTGCTTCCATTTGTTGGCTTCGACTTGGGGTCAAAAGCATTTTCTAGTCTCCAGGACTATTAATTTCATTCTTAGGTTACAAACGACATTTCTAGCTAGTTAAATATTTGCTTCTTTCAGACCGTTGCGTAGTATGCTAAAAACAGATAGTCATTACTGAGACTGCAAAATCCTAAGAAAGTGAAAGCACGATAAGAGTAACATCTATGCGCCACAAGATTACCACCTTGGGAATGAGGTGATGGTGCAGAGGGTCTCATTCTCTTTCAGTACTGAAGAGGCCTCCTTCCTGCGCTTGCCCATGTTATCTTCCACGGTGTTGAACTCTGACATTGTGCCCCCGTAGGGCTGTCCTGGGGTGCCTTCAATCATGTAGCTGCCATACTCTGGTCTCCAGAGAGTTGGGTGGCTGTAAGGAAAAGCAGGTACACGTCTGTGAGCAAACGATATACCGCATCAGCACTTTTTTTAGTACAGAATATTCACTGCACAGTTTTGGATACTGGGATATGCTAATGTTCCTTTTTAACTATAGCAAGCAATGTGTTTCTGAAATGATTTATTACTGCTTTACTTCCGAAACTTCGTTTGGGAAGTAAAGTGCATATATAAACATTACTCATTGTGTCTTGCAAATATACATTTATTAGATTAGAAATAAAAAAAATATTTTAGTAATGCACTTTCTGGTAACATATCCAGCTTTGTATCAATTTCATCACTACAAAAAGCTCAACACAACAGAGAGCAACCTCTTATGTCTAAATATTTTTAAAAGTTCTTACAAAAGGACAATCAATACTACTCAAATACTTAACTAGTTTATTGTGAGTACACACATTAAGAAATTATAATTATATATACAAATGCAAATTTATGGCCCAATGTAAAAACATAACAGTCAAAAACAGGGTCAGGATTTGGAGCGCTTGACCTACAAAGTCTGTTCAGAAGCTAGAAATGACTTGGAATTAGGCACAGTCATTGGTCTGTTCCCACTGGATTAATCACTGGCCTATCTCTAACTGCAAGTAGAAATCTGTGAAATGTTTAAGGTAAACTCCAGTCCAGGCCACAAATGAGCTTCCTCATACTGAGCATTCTTACACTCTTACCCAGATACTGTACGTATCCATGCCCTCACACAGAGATACATGTCAATGCATCTCATCAGTGGCCAAGTGAAAAAGTTCACAATCTCTGTGTTCATTAGCTAAGTCCAGCCTGACTCTGCGATGTACTTTCTCTCTCATCACTCTACCCCCGTCCCCCGAGGCATCACGCTCCAGCCACCTGCTGGAACAATAGCCTGAGTACTTCTGGTCAATCGAGATTTCACCTAACCGGTCCCACTACTTCCAGGAAAGTACTGTAGCAGCTGTAACAGGCTTTCTGTGAATCATGTTCAACACATTTTACAAACTTAACAAACCAGAAGCCCTAGACCTACAGTATAACCTGATTATGGGTTGCATGTCGTGTACTTGGTTGCTTGGTACACTTTGTTCTATTATCTTCTTCCTGTTTATAAAGTATGATGTCCACAAGTTCTGATCACAATATACAAACAAATTCCGGGAGCTCAAATGCAACACTTCTAAACATTGATACCACAATTATCTTGATGAGTGGAAGACATTCTGCTTCTGAAAACAAAGTGTACAATAATGGGACTGTTAGCCTAGGTTAGGCTTCAGGGACTGTGTAACCATGTCATTGTTACACCGTGGAGACAACTGAAAGCTGTTTATTGAAACTCTGTAAACACCTAAGCTAGTGTGCAAGAATATGCCAGACACTCTTTCTGTGTGCTGTCCAGGAGCAAATGCTTAAAATTATCTCGTTTATAACAAAAGCAAACCTAATTAAGAAGATCCAAAACTGGAGCACATAATACATTTTATAATATGCAAAACAAATATGAAGAAATATGAAGACAGAAAACGCTTCTTCAGAAATTATGTGGTTCACAAGGTGGTTTTGGCCGACTTACTTGGGGTTGGTCTTCTCCCCCTTGTCTTGCAGGGTCTGCAGGACCTCCTCTCCTTTGAGCACCAGCCGGACCTTCTTGTGCTCATGGTCCATGGCGACCAGCATGTACTCCACCTGTTCGGGCCAGAGGCATAGTCAGGGCCCGGACAGGAGCGGCAGGCTGTATGTACCATTAATTTAAAACACAAAAACCAGGACGGCCACCGTCTCACATTGAAAAATGTGTTTATTAGGGGTGGTAATGTTCCTAGAAAACTGACCAATTAACCTGAAAAATTCAAATAGAAGGCATCAAAGCATAACTCCAAAAAAAAGTACATATATGCTGCAAAACTTCAAATTGCCTTTTTTTGCCCTCATAGCTGTTCATCATGACCAGCCTAAAAGTCACGTGCCCCTTTTTAGAATAAAAACAGAACATCACATCCTTTCCAATTCATCAAACTCTTTTTACTTTGTTTCTGTCACCATGTAATCCGCTGTCGGAATGCAGGATTAATCTAAAACAACAAAGGCCTGGAATCTTCAAAATCCAAGCACTGCACCCAGGCCTGAGGTGTTAACAGATAACCGAGGAGCATTGCTAGGAAAGAGTAATGACTATATCATTCAAAACAACACTACAAAGCATGTTCTTGGGATTACAGGATTTCTACAATACCCTGTGTGGTAGCACTCTCTAGTTACAGCACAAGAACTCAATGCATTGACTCCAGTTGTTTTTAATAAACATCATTCATAAGCATTGCGTGAGCAGTAATAACGTTACAGAGTAATACCAGGTGTGTTATTTAAACACTTTTTAGCAATAAGGACATGTATAATTCCAATGTACCTGTACCTATGGCAATAAACTACTAGTTGAAAACTGAACTTGTAGAGTTGTCACAACTGTCCTATTCCTTAAGAAATGTAATGACTTCTTCCTTTTTCTATTTATTCCTCTTTGACAGTCTACAGTATGCAGTATGTACAATGTTCAAGCCTTCTGATCCTGTTTATCTCAACACATTTGATTTGAGTTTTCTTTATAATTTTTAGTGTACTCTTCCTGCAGGAGTTCTCCTTATTCATACACAATGTGAACTGTGTATTGTGTAAGCCAGACTGGATAATGGCTTCTGTTAACCATGCAATGTATTACTAGTTTATGAAACTAGGCCTGAACAAAAGTAGAGGAAGCCATTAGCAGAGTTAAGGTTAACCTTTGTCATGAATGACAGCTCCAGCATGTTCTGGCATTGACATTACACCCCTGTGCACAGCCTGTTGCATTAGTAAACCATTCAGCCATTTTTCAGGTACAGACACCTTTAACTACCAGCTACAAATGACAAATTAGCATAATGTGCAGGACCTTCGGGGCTCAATGAAATCACATCTACATTTGTTTTACAAAGCAGAAAAGAAAACTCACTGAACTACACAAAACTGTCCCCACTGACTGGTTATTCAGTTTAATAAATTCTGCTCAGAAATGAAGGGTCTTCAGAACACACAGGTAAAAAAGCCCAACAGGTACCTGTACTATCAAAGCACACTATCCAGAGATCCTCAAATCAACGCTTCAATTAAATGACAAATCGTCCTACACCCAGAAGATACACAAGGCTGGACCTGGTCAATACTGGGACGGGAACCCTCTAGGAAAAA